CCCGAGGAATCGATTGCGACCCTTATTTTGGCGATCAGACAAACGCTTGAGGCACTTTTGACGCGCCCCTTCCTTTAAGGGCTGATTAAGGGGTAAGGGGTAAGATGCACACATCTGGAACCCAAGGCCGCGGCTAGATATTGACCCGAGAAATCGGTTACCGCCCTTATTTTGGCGATCAGAAGAACCCTTGAGGCACTTTTGACGCGCCCCTTCCTTTAAGGGTCAATTAAAGGGTAAGGGGTAAGAGCTAGGGTTAAATAAAGGTCATATTCTTGCTCCCCGTCCCCCAATTGACCTGATATGAGTTTTTGAAGTGATTCTGAATCCGACGCTGTATTCGTTGCTGTTGCTGACGCTAACTTCACGGACATATAACCAAGTGGGTTTTGGACCCATCCTGCACGTCCAAGACGGCTGATTTCGTCTCCCTGCTGTTAGCGAGGTTGCCGCTGCTAATTTTCTTATGTTGGGGAAGAGGTGGCAACCACTAACCAGAGTGTGCAAGGTTCGGAGAGAAAAAAGTGGATGCGACAACAACTCGAAGCTCATCGCTTCACTGTTCGTCATCCCGCCCATGTACATACGCAGGTGCGTGGTCGCGGATCAGGTGCACACTTTACGTCAGCTTCCCTATAGCCTCTCCTCAATGTTTATCGAATGGACGCACATCATCAATTGTGTGCCCCTGTTTTGGAAAGTTGACGAGCGGAGGGGGGTCGCATCGACCCCTCCCCCTGCCAGGCCGTGTTATGAAAAATGCCCAGGGCGAGGGTTAACGCTTGGTGCCTTTTCTGCACTAACTACTATGAAACGAATCACTGCTCTCTTCTGGGCGTCGCCCATCCTATCCGAAATGGCGAACTATGCTACGAATAGAAGCCCGAATCAATCACAGAAGAGACTTAACCCGCGCCCTGCTGGGGGGGGGGGGGGTGTTTGAACACCCCACTTGTGGTTTTTCGCGAATATCTCAAAAACGGCGGCGCGGAGCGCCGCCGTTTTTGGTACACCTTATCATACATCAATTCTACACATGTTGTGAAAATTTCAGACCAAGGTCATTCAAGGTCAGGTCACCAGGTCACTTGAAGTGACCTCACCTCATAAAAAGTTTCAATGTCTGTCATAGCTACACCAAATGACCGATCGCTTTGAAACTTTCAGCGATTGCTAAGAGCAATAGCATGTACAAAATGTATATCTCAGAATTTTGATATCGATGACCTAAGGTCAGGTCAATTTTGCGACCTCCCCATTATAAGTCAATGGGAGAAAATTGAAATGCGCCTCTTTTGGACAAAAGACATTATAAACACTCCCAAACGCTGAATTACAAGTGGCTTAGACACACTGAACAGTGAACATGAAAATGGTGTCCGTGACCCCTGTTTATATCCTGAGGTCATCTTAGGTCACGAATGGTATGTAACCGTTTTTCGAAAATAACTTTTGATAGAGGCATGCTAGAGCGATGAAAACGACATAGATGTGTTCAGCTCGACGATACGGATCGACTGATATGCAACATGACCCTTTCCGGTCAGGTCATGACCTTGACCTGAGGTCAAATTTTGAAGCTGACCTTTCAAGGTCAAGTTATAGTTCATTCGATGCGTCTTGACGAGAGGAGCACGATGCCGGTAAAAGTAAGCTCGTACAAGGCTTGGGTCAAAAGTTATTGCAGAAAAAACTGTTTCCGAAAAAAATCGGCTATTTTTGCAGTTTTTGCCCCTGCAGGCAAAACCGTTGACGTTAGGTCAAATCTGAGAGAATTACTCAGAAAGGGCTTTAATATGGCTATCAAAGCGCTTTTCCGCGGCGCTGTAGCTCTATTGGTTCTCGAGTTATGCGTTGGCTTCTTGGAAATTTTCGACATTCGACCTGGAAATCGGCGAATATTTGCTTATCTGTTTATTAATATTTGCTTATCTGTTTATTTTGATTTTTTATCAACTGATAAGTGACAAAAGATTGGTAGGGCTCAGCGAACATTGGTAGGGCCCAAATAAACATTGGTAAGGCTCGGGCCCTACCAGGCCTATACAAAACGACGCCCCTGCCGGGGAGGGAATCACTTCACTCTCAACCACGCAGTGGTTTTCGAACACCCTCAGAAATTAAACAGGGCTGACAAGTTCCCGACACTTGGAAACGAGAAGCTTTATGATTCACTCATACAATCAATGAATATAATACGGAGCGCAAGTGTAAACTTTGGACAAAGGATCAGACGAAGTTAGTGATATTTCTCGGAAAAGGTTTATGAACGCAAGTTATTAGTTTCTAGGAGATGGACACAGACACGGGTCTCTGGCATTGACACGGACACGGACACGGGCACTGTCACGGATACGAGCTGACGATTATGGCCTGGGCCAAGGCCAGGCTCTGTCCAGTCTCCAGACGTGACGTAGTAGCTGGTCCTCCATTGGTGCTTGTGATGTCTGTCAGTCTTGTGGGCCTGTTGTTGGACCCATTGACGTCCTTATAATATCCACTTAGTGTGCTCTATCGGCTCTATTGGCTTCTACGGCCCGTGCTGAGTTCGCTGAAAGGTCGTCAGAGCCCACATCGAGTCGCTGGGGTGGGGAGCGGTGGGGGACAGCGGCTGTTCCGCCTCAGGCCCTGCGGCCGGTGACACGAGTCCTGTTTTCTCTGGCGACAGAGGGGCGGTGGAACAGGAGTGGCTGGGCGCTTCGGCAGCCGAGTGGCGTCGCAGCTCCGCCGGGGGAGGGGAGGGAGAGGGGTAGGAGCGGATGGAGGTAGTCACTGTGACCGGACCGAGAGCAAACGGAGACAGCAGAGTCAACAGACCGGCCGAGTCTGAGAGGACACGATATACCGCGGGGGATGTGTGGGGCGGTGGACGATACACCGCTCGGCTGTGTGGAGCGGTGGACGATATACCGCGGGGGATGTGTGGGGTGGTGGACGATATACCGCGGGGGATGTGTGGGGTGGTGGACGGTATACCGCGGGGGATGTGTAGGGTGGTGGACGATATACCGCGGGGGATGTGTGGGGTGGTGGACGGTATACCGCGGGGGATGTGTGGGGTGGTGGACGATATACCGCGGGGGATGTGTGGGGTGGTGGACGGTATACCGCGGGGGATGTGTGGGGTGGTGGACGGTATACCTACCGCGGCGGATGTGTGGGGTGGTGGACGATATACCGCCCGGCTGTGTGGAGCGGTGGACGGTATACCGCGGTGGATGTGTGGGGTGGTGGACGATATACCGCGGGGGATGTGTGGAGGGGTGAACGATATTCGGTCGTCGTCTGCTGAGAGGGCGACGGTCGGCTATGTCTGGCCGCTGACTGCTGCGCTCAGAGGGAGTGTCGGCTGGCTGTGGCCAATGGCCACTACGCTGAGAGGGGGAGTGTCGGCTGGCTCCCATCCCAGTCGCTCTCGTGTGAGGGGTGGTCTCTCCTCGCGCAGACACAGCCGAGGGTGTCACCAATGGAGCGTGTCCGTGGGTGACACTGATGACCTGCTGATGATTATTGATACGGTGGCTGCAGGAAGAGCTGGTACAGCAGGGAAAGAGGGTGCATCATAAAACACGCTGACTAGGCAGTGGTGCGTCTCAGAATCCTCTTGAGATATTGATCAGAATGACTATGTTTACGTCTAGGTTTCCAACTACTCCTGTTTTTAAAGACTTGTTTTCCCGGGACCGCCTCTCGAACCTCCAATATCGGCGCGCTCTGTGCTCCCGTTTGGCCACGTCTGCGACTCAGCTGGAGTTGATTTGTGGCTCGTTTCAGCCCGTTAACCCGCGCCCCGCTGGGCTATTCAGCCATACGCGCCCTGCTGGGGGGGGGGGGGGGGCAGATTCTGCCCCCCCTGTCTAACTTCCGAACCGATGGTCGTAGAAAGACGGGGAAAACGGCAATCGAAAGCTCTCAACAAGGCGGATCTTAAGAGCCCAATTTTTTTTGCTTAAGTAGGTCAGAGGTCAGGTCAAGGTCAGGTCAAGGGTACAAAATGCAAGTTTGTACAGTATCGGCCTTGCACCGTAGTTGCCGAAGAATGGACTGAGACTGATTGCCCAAAACGTGTTCTTAGACTACCAAGACAATATTCGTTGCACACAATGTCATTCAAAGGTCAAGGTCAAGGTCAGGTCAGGTCAGGTCAGGTCACCAAAAACAAAATATAGAAAAGGGCATGTGCGACACATGTTTTATGGGTCATTTTACTCATGGAATTCAATAGGCACACTCAATAAGTGATATGGACCACCTCTGGATGAATTTCAGGTCGAGGTCAGGTCAAGGTCAGGTCAAGTGAGGTCAAATTTTGAAGTTGGTTGTTAAGGCCTAAAAAGGTGTCTATCCGATGCAGTTTTTCACGGCGAATCGAATGGTGCTATTTTTGTTTCCGTACGAGGTCTAGAACTTCCAAAAAAATCATTTTTCAAAATTGTTGTGTGTCGTGACGTCATAAAATTTCGAATAACTCCCACATTTTTGAACCGATTCTTCTAAAAATTGGTATGTGGGTGCACATAGACCACTTCTTTGACATATATTCCGGTTTTTTCGATAAACTCAAAATTTTGGATTTTATAAATATTTTCCCAAAAAAGTCAGTTTTTTGGAAAATTTTTGGCCAAAATCCAAAATTTTCAAAAAACCGAGATAGCCATTTGATAGACAAAGTAGAATCACGTATAACCTTTTTTGTTACGTCTTGATTCCTTTAAAAATGAAGATGTTAGCGGCGTTTGAAATTTTGCCGTTTTTGAGGCGAAAATGGCGAACATGACGTCACTAAAACGTCAATTTCTCAAAAATTTTCCGACGGATTTCGCTCAAAGTTTCAGGGAACGTGTCAAATTGATGTATGATAAGGTACTGAAAGTTTGACGTCGCTGGCGTAACGCGTTTAGAAGTTATTGGCGAAAAACGGGAGGGGGGGCAGATTCTGCCCCCCCCCCAGCGGGGCGCGGGTTAACGCTCGTCTCGTCCATCTCTGACCCATGTTTCAGATGGCTCGGACGCCAATCCCTACGCCAAACGGCTGTACGATGACCTGCTAAGCAACTACAACCGGCTCATCCGACCCGTGGGAAACAACACCGAGAAACTCACCGTCTGGCTCAAACTCAAACTCTCGCAGCTCATCGATGTGGTAAGAACAGCTTCTCGCTTGGTGAGGCAGCTAATGAATGCATAATGCATATAAAGTGAAAAGAAATGAGGCAAAGCTGTTTTAATTACTGATATGCAAATAAAGTAAATGATAAGAATTCGGGCAGAAATGCTCTTCGTTGTGAGTAGGTATTTCGCAACGGCCAAACATAGTCTTTTCTGTAATATGCATTACAATATAAATGTGTTAAACAGCGAACAATTACGACATAATCTCCGTAATGCAAATAACTTCCTTCCTGCAATTTATTGACATCACTCTATCCATGTAGCTAAAAACGTGTTTTTCTTGTTTTAGAACCTGAAGAATCAGATTATGACGACCAACGTCTGGGTCCAACAGGTGGGTTCCTATCTGCATGCCTTCTGTGGTTTGTTTCAGTTCCTGTATGGGAAAAAGGTGATTTTTGCGGTTGAAATAAGTAGGAATCGAAAACTTATCGATGCCTATTTTTGTGTCAAATACCTATGCATGTACCATACATTATTGACTGTTTTAAAAGTGACTGTTTTAAACAGCCGTATTAAAACGTCGGAGGAGCGTCCCAATAAAAATGAAAAAGTAAACATAAGAGCCAAGAGGCCACTGTAGTCTTTCGGAAGGATGCCTGATCCGTGGGGTGCTGAAAAGCCACGGTAACTTGTCGGCCTCAGTGTATTCCTGGCGCGCGCCGCGGCTCCCTCTACGCGGCGACATATGATCAGGCCGGATCAATTATCCACCGGCGCACCCTCGGCCGCGCGCGCTGTGAGCGGCCGAGGGGAGAGGCGGCGACAAGTGTTAAATCACCTGTGGATCTGTCGGGGAAGATGTCACTCGTCCGATCGGCCTGGACGGGCGGCGGCGGCGGCGGAGTGCAGCTGAACAAACGACGACAGAGGGGCGACAACGACAGTCAGACAGACAGACAGGCGGACAGACAGACAGTCAGACAGACAGGCGGACAGACGGCTGTGTCGGACAGTGTCAGAGGGGCCGGCAGCAGTGTCAGACAGTGTCAGAGGGACCGGTAACGGTGTCAGACGGTGTCGGTCAGTGTCAGACAGCGCTGACACAAACGGCGCGGCTGTCACGCGGAAATGAAGCGACCGGCCGGACGACCGCTCCTTTGTAGCCCCGGACAGCCCGCCGGACATGGCTTCCACGTATCCAAAAACGGGTCAAACTGACTGCAGCGTGCTTATGCCACAGGTGCTAATAAAAACGTTAGAGAAAATTAGATATCAGCTGAAAAACGTCATGTGTATTGGATTATTTAACCCGCGCACCGACGGGGGGGGGCGGATATCCGCCCCCCCCCTGAGGTTTTTCGCGAATAGCGGGAAAACCGCGGCGCGTAGCGCCGCGAAATTTGGTATGACTATTCCCTTATCAATTTTACACATGGTGTGCAAGTTTGAACCTCCTACCTTTCAAGGTCAGGTCACCAGGTCACTTTGAATGACCCAACCTCAAGTCACTTTTTTGCAACTTTGTCACCGTGCCAGAGCTACAGTAGATGTCGGAGGCCTTTGAAAGTCGCAGGATGTTATTAGGTCATTAGTAGCTACAATTTGTATATCTCGGAATTTTGATATCGGTGACCTAAGGTCAGGTCAATTTCGCGACCTCCCCATTATAAGTCAATGGGGGAAAAATCAACTCCCTGTTTTTACCACTAAAACGGGTCGGAATGGCCCCATATACCATACATGACTTCATATACGATCAACCTTCACTACCTTGAGGTCTGTTTTGCTGTTGGGCAGCTGTGAGGTCATGTGACGTCATCAAAGGTCACCAAAGGTTTTTGGCCAATAACTCCGTACAGGAACAAGATACAGACGCGTGGATGGTCTCATTGTGTTCAGCTCGTCAAGACGCATCGAATGATATACATGATGACCTCGAGGTCACGTGACCTGAGGTCAACCTTTGACCTTGACCTTTCGAGGTCAACATATATATCATTCGATGCGGATTGACGAGAGGATCACGATGATGCCCTTAGTTTGTTCCTATCTTGACTAATTCGAAAGTTATTCGAGAAAAACTCCCATATTTAGCGCCGCCATTTTGACTTTTTCGACCCCTGTGACGTCATCTTTGACCTGACCTGAAAATGACCTTAGTAAAAATTGTAGATCTTGACCGTGCGTATCCGATGCCGTTTACCGCTTGTCGCTATCTTGCTTCGTTCTCGAGATCTCAGGGGGGGGGCGGTCATCCGCCCCCCCCCCCCCGTCGGTACTAAGTTGGCGCAGACCCCCGTCGGTGCGCGGGTTAAATATGACCGTCCAAACATGGCCAATATTGGTTGCAAAGCAATGAAAATAAATGATGCTGATAGAAGACACTAATAAATAAAATTGTTCTATAAGCTTCATTCTGATCCACACAAGCTCAGAATGCTACCCAGGCGACCAGCAGTTCAAATCGGAGCTGCGAGCGCTGCGCCAAACCGAGTCGGATGGATGCCGTCCCAGGCGTAATGCCTCTGAAGGTCAGATCTATAAGCGGACAAAGCAATGGTTGGGACCGAGTGCGGCACACAAGTAACTGAGTGCATGTGCACTTCGCGGAAGGAAGAAATGCTACAAGCTTTTCGGAAAAAATTATATATGCAAGCCAAACGTATTTAGAGTGGGGAGGGAGGGTAATCATCTAGATGAGTATGCTCATTGCCCAGTGGCTGTTGTCATAACAAAGCGTTCGATAAACCGAGAACTACGCATTCGTATGTTGGTCTTATAGATACAATGCTGACTCCCTCTACGTGCTGCACAGAAATGGTTCGACTACAAGCTCAGCTGGAACCCGGCCGATTACGGAGGAGTGGACAAGCTGTACGTGCCGTCCGAGCACATCTGGCTTCCCGACATCGTCCTCTTCAACAAGTCAGTATACCGTAACAGGGCCCTTCCGAGTTCCGAGAACTACACATTAAGTTTCCCCATTAAAACTCCCGAGCATCCTCGTGCTCTCAGTGGCGTTGATAAGACTCATTAATTCTGCGTATGCAAGGATACTTTAACCCAGCGAAGTCGGCAAGTACGGATATGCTCCCCAAAGTGAACCCGGTTTGAGATAATAAAAATTTGCAGGTAAATATGGAAATAACTGTTGAACAAGCATACCCATAGCTTAATAATGTTATGATGACTAAGTTCTTAACTCAATACTGACGTCACACATCACTGACCGCTCTCTGACGTCACATAACTGACCGCTCTCTGACGGCACATCACTGAACACTTTCTGACGTATCTTCAGCTCTGAACCTACCACTGATGACCATCCCCCAGCGCTGACCCAGGATACTGACGTCCCTCCCCCTGCCCTGGCCGCTCTGTGACGTGATTCCACAGCGCTGACGGCAACTACGAGGTGACGCTGATGACCAAGGCGACGTTGCGCCACGACGGCCAGGTGGTCTGGAAGCCGCCGGCCATCTACAAGTCCTCTTGCGAGATCGACGTGGAGTGGTTCCCCTTCGACGAGCAGAGCTGCGTCATGAAGTTCGGCAGCTGGACCTACGACGGCTTCCAGGTAATAACGGCGGTGCTGCTTCTGTCAACGGGACATTAGCCGTCTAAGTGGACAGTCGGAGGACCCTTGATGTAGACAGGCAATGGCCAGTATCGTTTCTGGAGCTGACTGGCTCTCAAGCTCCTATTCGTGCCTGAGATGAGATCTTCGAATAGAGCATGGCACACTCAGACATTGGTCTGGCTCTGGCAGTGTTTAGGAGGAGGTCTTTGATGACTCCGAGAGGACGGACATGGTCAATTGACCGTAAATGATAAGTCAACTGAGTGGACATAACACAATGAAAGATATTGACCGGATAGCTGACGAGATCCTAATACAAAACTTTGCAATGTAGGTACTCCAGCTATGCAACGGTATATGCACTTGCTTCTTCATATTGTTTTTAATGCTTATGTATAACCCCCTCCCCTTATTCTTGCCGCTCAATGCCAGTCGTGGACACACCATTGTTCTTAAGGACATTTGTAATCGGTGCAGAGAGCAGGAAGAGCCTGCGAGGATGGCTAAGGAGTTTGTAGGCGTGTCAGTTATGACAGCGGGAACCTCACTTCTGACTCTGCTCCATTTAATTTGGCGGCTGGAAACAAATAAGTATGCTAATGTGGATGATTAATGAGTTCAGAAAGGGTGCGGTGTGGCTTTGCTGCTCTTTAGGCTATGCTTGAAGAGGTATCGCTGTGTTGAGAAACCTCTCATGGCGTGCTGGTTATAGCTCGAATCTGCGAAGCCTATAAAATGCCTATGTTTATCTGCAATCAGACCGTCTTCAATTCCAATCAGCCATTCCTCTCCTATCGGTTTTAATATAATTTCCTACGTATCAATTTGAATAGCTTGTAGGCAGCGATTGAAAGTATTTCACAAAACTTTTCTGGTACGAGATTTGTCCGTCTATCAGCATGCAATGTATATTTTTAGACAAGACCTTTTCAACAATACATGAACAAGCATGACATTTACAACATGTCAAGCAACGTTAGGTACATATGTTGGAAGTTCTAAATTTATGCAATATCTGTTGTTAGGCTTCTCTTTACTGCTCAGCCCGCGAGAAGCATAGACCACGGGCTGGGGTGACCGGATAGAACCGTTAATCCAATTGACTACTTTAATTGGAGAGATTGGCGGAATCGTGGCGGCTAGTCCGGTGGCAGTGGCAACGCCAGACCCCACCGCCTGACCCATTCAGCGGGAGAAGCCATCTGTTTAGGTTGTCCATAGGCATCCAGCCTTCGGAACACGATTGCACCATTTTAATGCGGCTTTCAGTCTAAATAGCCTAAATGTAAGGTCCCGGCCATAGCTTTGGCTAGCCGGGACGCAATGGTAAAAAGGTAAAGTCCACATGAAGTGCTTCTCGTACGTCATTATTTATCCTAATGTTAACCGCCTTGTACTCTAAGCATGGCGTTAAAACAGGCCTGGGAATATTTTCTGAATTGTGAGACATTCAAAATTTATTTCCGGAACTTTTTTTGTTTGATCCAATCAGCATGGATGATAAAAAGCAAACACTTTTACAGGCCCGTATAGCTTGCCCGTCCATATTTGCCGATCAAAATCCTTCGCTCTTCAAAGTTTAAACCAAAGCATCTCTTTTGTGCTCCTTCTTTGAGAATTCATCGGTTCCTGCTCACGTTTTCTGGGAGATATGCGGCAGTTCATCTTCCGTGGGTGCCCATTCGGGGAGATTCAGCGGGGCGCATTGAATGACGGACCGGCTGGCTGGCGAGGCGATAACCCGCGTCTGGCGGTTAGTGAGCTCGTAACACACCGGTTCAGCCACAGCCCCTCATCCCTGTGCGTGTGTGTATCGCCGCCTAAATAGTCTAACCTGCAGCATCAGTTTGTCCGTGAAGTAGGCTTTGTAAATATAGCTGACTAGTGACTGGATGTTATTATGCCGCACAAAAATCAGTAACGGATTATTTTGTGAGCAAACTTGTCCTGCAATTATTTATAGGTTAGCAATTTTCTTCTGCCTCCCCGGCCTTATCTAGCCTGCTTTCCAAATAATATTTACGGAACTTCTCACAAGTATCTAGTCTAACACCTTTTGCATGTTCAATTAGTTTCACTTGACTTATCTTATGAATTTTAGATTACTTAAGACTACCAGAACCTACTTCTTAACCTACTCATTAACCCTCGCCCGCACATGCCATTTTCCCATCCTAGAACGCACATGGGGGGGGGGTGGTTGCCACCCCCCCCCCGCGCCATTTCGTTCCTGTTGGAGATAGAGCTTAGCAGTAAAGACCAAAAAGATTCTTTGGGAAGAGACAAATCCAATGATACCCAGTTTTACCTTCTCAGGTCAGTCATTGACCTTCCAGGTCAGGTCAAACTAAAAAATGTTGCTGTTTTGGGTCACCGTTGGATATCAAGTGCGCTGCTTAGCAAATACCGATGACGATGCTGTTTTCTGGTGCCAAGCCAGCTAGAACCTCTTTGTCACACTATCCGACCAGAATTTTGCTGCTGAGGTCATTTCAGGTCAAGTTAGGTCAAGGTCAATTATATGTGTCTGTATGTCTGTGTGTGTCTGTGTGTATACTGATGTGTGCACCGATTGTTTTTGGGTCCATATCACATGAAATCATGATCTGAGAAGCTTTTAGCAAAAATGCAGTCAAAAAACTTCACAAAAAGTAAATTCAGCTTGCCTAAAACGCAATTATCTTAGATGACCTAGGTTGACCTTGACCCTGACCTTGACCCCTGTACATCGTCGAACAACATGTTCCATGATAGGTGGGAGGTAAGACTGGTAAAAAAAGCCGAAATCAAGGTGTCAAAAGCTCACAAGGCCCATAGCCAACGCAAGATGTCGAGAATTGGCCATTTGGGTCATGACATGACCTGAAAAACAAGGTCATATCTCCGAAACCAAAAATCACAGAAACTTGAAATTTTCAGTGGACATCAAGAAAGGATAGACAAGCAGCTATACGAAAAATCAGCCTTCTAGCTCTAAAAATGTTGAGTGCAGAGCAAAAGACTGCCTGGGGGGGGGGGTGGCAACCACCCCCCCATGTGCGGGCGAGGGTTAAAACTCTTCTAACTTAACTATGTAAAATCACTATCCAAGTGGGATAGAGAAAGCACAGCAGCATACCATTGTTTTTTTTCTCTCTCTCTCTCTCTCTCTCTCTCTCTCTCTCTCTCTCTCTCTCTCTCTCTCTCTCTCTCTCTCTCTCTCTCTCTCTCTCCCTCCCTCCCCGCGTCTGTCTGGCCCGGCCCGGCCCGTTCTCGCCGCCGCGCCCGTCCGATCTCGGTGAGGTGGCAGTGGCCGCAGTGGCGGTGGCGAGCTGTCCAGAATCGATCAGTCTCGGCCGACACCCGCCGGCGGCCGGGCGTCACGGCTCCGACGGCCGGGCAATTACCCGGCGGGATATAGCACCCGACGCACCCCCCACCCCCGCCCCCACCCCGCGGGCTGCTGCCTCCTCCCGCTGACCGCCCCGCGGGCCGTCCGCCACCCGTCACCTCCGACAGCGCCAGAAGTGCCGCCCGGCCGACTGGCACAGAGGGTCCATGTCATTTTTTTTATAGATATTCGTTAAAGTTTATGAATATAGAAATAACAAAAAGTTTTACTTTGAAGGAACGGTATGCCTATTATAAAGGCTTCAGCAGCACTATCTATTGAAGCCCTGGATGAGATTATTAAAGCTTTATTAGTTTAAATTACTTGGTTGAGTCGCGTAATTTACCCTTTTTGTGTTCAACGCATTACAAACGCTAGTCTGTCATCAAAAACTGATAATCTTATTCACATATCTACCATCTATTCAGCTACTGAATTAATGAAGCGGATACTCAAAAATGCTATGGAGCCCAACTTTGTTACTATTGTTAGTTCTATTGTTATTGTTAGTTCTATTAATTCGGATGATATTATGATATTGTAAAAATGGAGCTACCTACAACTACGAAGGACGTGGTACTCCATGGAGCAGATCCGGGTGCACACTTAAGGAGAACTAAAATGCCTAAATTTTGCTGATGTACTCGTATTTTTGTACGATATATTTTTGCGTGGCAATCCAAGAAGTTTCAAAGGTGTGAGCTTGGTGTGTTCAACAGTGTCATTCACAATGATGATACGTAAGTTTGGGCGATACGTAACGCAAGCATGTTCTGCCATTTTAGACGTCCTAATGAGTACCTATATCGAATACTAAGCGTGGCAAAGTATATCATATAAACACAGCATTGAGATGTTGCCCTTTCTGTGGGTGAGCGTTTCGTCCTGTGCCTCCCAGACCCTGTCTGTTTACGGGTGACCACTGACCAGTCACGGAGAGAGAGGCCAGCGTCTACCATCATCCCCCCCCCCCCAACTCCCAAGCAGGGGACTGCAGACACAGTCGAGTGGTGTGGCGACAAAGGCAGACCAGGAGTGGCGCCAGTTGAGTGGTCTGGCGGCGAGCTGGTGTGTTTCCGGATCCAATACGTGTCCGCTCCCTGTGTTCCGCCGCCGTCTGATTGAATCAGGCCTGTGCCGCCGCCGATATCGCCACTGCCAGCCGGTCAGCCAGCAGCCGGCGACATCCCCCTGCCTCGCCGGCCAGAGCAGCGGCTTTGTCTCGTCAGTTGAAATTCTGCCCTGGATCGGATGACGCGGCTGGACCCGGAGCGATTCGGCCAGAATTCCAGGGAGGCCGCCATTGCGCCCAATCGGCTGCCGCTCCGCAGTCACGTGACAGCCCGAGGCTATATCGCCCCGTCAGTGACGTCACGCCGTGAAATGGCCGGCCAACTGTTGCCGAGGTTTTACGGTCCACATAGGATCGCCGATGTCTAATTGGAATTAGAGCTGGAATCTGTAGAGATGTATGTGGTCACTGCTCACTGGCTGCTCGATATCCGCAATACATTACGCTTAAAGTCTACTGGGATCTTTCCCAATCTGTCAAATCCCCGAGGAAATCCAGTAAAATCTCCCTTTTCAAATGCTGCAATTTCACCCGTGACATTACGCTGATTGGTGCTATGCTGTTATTTATATATGTCGTGTCTCCCTTTATCGCATTAATATGTGAAAATTATGCGCATTTGTAACTGGTTTAATCGATGCATACATGTTTTCTTTCCACTCTAAATGCCATCCACGTTGCGGATGAGACTGGGCGAATTTTCCTAAGCAAAGCATTCAGAATGTCTAGACATGTATGCGTAATCGTTCGAGAGATATACGACAAACCGGTCGCTACCGGAGAACACGGTTACTATCGCGCTGATCTCCCTCCGTCCTCAGGTGGACCTGAAGCACATGGAGCAGAAGTCGGGCAGCAATATCGTTGACATCGGGATCGACCTCACCGAGTACTACATGAGTGTCGAGTGGGACATCCTCGAGATCCCGGCCAAGCGGAACGAGGAGCTGTACGTGCAGACGCCGTATCCAGGTAGGCGCCGCTGCAGTGAGACGTTTCTGGCGCACTGCGCCGCTCGTCTCCGGGTGACTGCGCCGCCCCGAGCGGCGCTGTCGGCCGACCGCCGCGCTGGTGGATGAGATCTCAGTGGGAGTCGGCACCTGAAACTAATTGGAGACGGCTCAAACATTCCCAGAAGCGTAACCTGATACAGACTGTTCTCTCGCTGGCATTGTTCTTCTTTAGGGTTGGGCTGAGCGAAAAGACGGTGTATTTACGCTGCAGTGCTGCTGGGAAGATTAATCAAGTATCGTATTGTGAGGCATATAAGTGACTGCTGAGGATTTATTAGCTGTCAGAAGCATTGCGCCGCTGGACAGACATCCTGTACGAAGGTATTCATTCTGCTGCCAGATTTAGGACTAGACTACATATTGCGTCAACGGACAGAGCTCAGTGCTACATCTAAAGTGAATGCAATATGCCGTTAATCATTCAGCAATGCGTATTGCATCCCTCGGTGGCCTCAAATTTCGTATTGAGCCAGCCACGGATACCCATCGCCACCATTGCGCCCATATTGTAGTTTATACCCCTGTGCTATACATAGACTGAACTATTCGAGTGCCGACCCTTTTCAGTAGACGGAGGCTTATTCAAGACACGTAAATTCCTCGGATAAATAAATTGCCGAACCTGCAGTTCAATAAGGCAGCCCTTTGAAGGAGCAGGGCCACGTCTGGGTGAACTCAGGCCGGTGATTGCCCGTTGCCGCGTATTATTGCCAAGACTGCACGTGCCCAGACAGCTCATGACAATGTACTTAGGGACGGTAGACTGTGTATTGTGTAACTATAGGTATTTGGATTACTCGTAAGGAGGATGTCATTTGAGATAGTGAGGATGTTACGCCCCAACGTTTTGTACAAAGCTGGCTGACCATATCACTCACAATCGGCTTTGTTCTTCCGCAGACATCACATTCAACCTGACAATGCGGCGGAAGACGCTCTTCTACACGGTGAACCTCATCATCCCCTGCGTGGGCATCTCTTTCCTGACCATCCTGGTGTTCTACCTGCCGTCCGACTCGGGCGAGAAGGTCACCCTGTGCATCTCGATCCTGCTGTCGCTGACCGTGTTCTTCCTACTGCTGGCTGAGATCATCCCTCCGACGTCTCTGGCGGTGCCGCTGCTCGGCAAGTACCTGCTCTTCACCATGGTGCTGGTGACGCTGTCCATCTGCGTCACTGTCGGCGTGCTCAACGTCCACTTCAGGTCAGTCCTGGACACCCTGCTACATATGAAACACACTAAATATTTAGTGCCTTAAGTTTTTTTAACATAAGACGCAATTAAAACAAGCTTTGAGCGATCTAATTAATAGTCTCTTATTATTCTCTTTTGAAAGTATGTATGCAACAAACATAAAATACGATGCATTATAGGCGACCACAATAATTGTTCAAAACAACGTTGATGTGTATTTGAAATGTTGGCTATCTTGCCTTCATTCTATCAAAATATTGAGCTATTCCGATCAAGTTATCTGCTTTATGGGAGCATAACAGCTTTTCAGCAATATAATCGATTGTCTTATATCACAATCACATGCATTCACATGCATAGTTGGACGCAACAAAGAACGAAAGCTTTGTCGAAATTGGTCAGTAGAAGATCTTGGACCCCAGTGAAGCTAATCCCGAACGCTTCCCTATATCTATCGGACATTCATAAACTAAAGTGAAGGGTCTTCCGCCGGCGCATGTGAGCCATCTTTATGGGCCGTTTCGGTAATCCCGCTATCCGTTTTCACACTTGGTAGAAGGCAAGGGGTCAGCTCTAAGCCTGGGCCACATCCATAACTTTCCCAGAAAACCACCAATATATCGCCATCCAGGCAACTGATATAACGCTCTAATGAGGATCGGAATCGATTGGATTGCAATTCGTAATGAAAATCTTACTGGCTTCAATTCATTTGTTTGTTATCATCCACCATTTCGTTTTATTCAGGTGATTCGTATTCATACTTTTTATATTAGGTCGTTCAATAAGTAACGAACAATCGGTCATAACTTCTTTATTTCTTTATTATTACTGTATGCCTGGCCTATTCAAATACATTAGCAAGAGGGGTGTGGTAATAACTGGTGTAAGCAAATTGACCACGGTCAAAAATGCATTACCAGAATGCACTTAAGCCAACATTTTGGGATGGTCTCGTTCCTAAGTCGGCTAAGAGCTTCGGTCCAGAAAATAAATTTATCGTTGGCATACAGTAAAATACATACCAAACTCGGCCGGTGATAAATTTTCAAGACCTCAGTCCTTACTGATTTTTGAACTCGGCCTTCGGCCTCGTTCAAAAATCCAGTAAGGACCTCGGTCTTGAAAATTTATTTACACCGGCCTCGTTCAGTATTATATAACACTTTCAAACTTTCACAGATTATAGACTAGACATTTCTGAATGCAGCCTATGCCTCAAACCAGTCGCCGCCCGCCTGCACACACTTCTCCCAGCGTTCCGGCCAACGCCGGAATTCCGCCCGGAAAAACGCGTTTTCCGTCTTTTTCACCCAGTTCATGACAGCGCACATGACTTCAGCGTCGGTCTCGAAGTGTTCACCACGGAGGCCATCCTTCAGGGGACCAGAGGTGAAAATCTGAAGGAGCCAGGTTCGGACTGTAGGGCGGCTGGGGCATGATATTCAGCCCTGTCACGCGATCTCCTCGCGCGTGGCGTGAGACAAGTGCGGTCGGGCGTTGTCATGGTGTATGGTGAATTTAGGGTGGCACTTAAAAATCATTTTTTAATTTTTAATGCGTGCGGGTGGTTTTCCGGTTCCATTCCCGTAAAAAATAAGGGAGGCAAATTTGTATGGAAAAATATTGATGTTTAGAGGTCGCGAATCAAGGTCAAAATTGAGATTTTGGTAGCAGATTTCAATATCATTAAAATCGTTTCTGACTTTCCTATTACGCTGTAATCGGATGATAATAAGGCATTTCTTAGTAATTTTCATATTGTTTATTGACATTTCATGCAGCTTCGGTCACACCGAAACGCTGGTCTATGTACTCCACTACTCCAGTTCCTCCTCTTTAGTAGATAGATTATTGGCGCCTCATTGGAGGGAGTGGCATCATGGGCAACGGGCACCCAGATCACTTTGTGTGTAGCCTGGTTAGCAATTTGCAGTCGATCTTCGGGTGTCAGGATAGCCTTTTCTGTGATCTTTTCAACGACATGGAGGAAGAACTGGCGCTAATCTTTGTCTTTCATGAGTGCCAGTCCTACATCAGCGCCATACTGCGCCTGGTGAAGTCATTCACCATACGCAACTCCCGGACTACACGAGCTGCGGTTTGGTAGCTGCTGTCCTCCCAGTGGCCTTGGTCATTGATTATGAGCCCCGCGTCCAGGTTGTAGATCCTTGAGAGCTTTTTGAATGATGGTGTGAGGAAGCTCGCCAACGTCTCGGTCGCGAGAGCGGCGTTCATAGTGTCCACTAAGGACTTATGGGGCGGGTCCTCGTCCTCCCTCTCCTACAAGTCGATTGCCCGCACCATGTCTTGATTAAGCCCGAGGGTCGGGGTCTAAAAGCTCCAGTCACCAGCCGATCGCTCAAGTACTACAGGTGACGGCTGAAGACCGGGACTGTCGCCTTCGACAGCTCCTTTTCGGGGTAGGTGCAGAACGAGTTCACGAAGGTCAGGTCCAGAGCCGGCGCAGTGGCAGTAGAGTCCCAAACCAGGCGGCGGCGGCGGCGGCAAACTTGCAGGCAACGGACAGCGCACAGCGTCTGATGACCTGGGCCTCGGCCGCCGTCAGCCGGAGCCGCTCCCTGAAGAGGAAGGCATCCACAGTGCGGATGGTCTTTGCCATCCACCTAACTCAGTGGAGTACTCTGAGGCGGAGAAACGGATGCCGTGCTTGGAACAACTCCACCGAGAGCAATTACGCAGAGCTCCAGAAGTTTTCGGTAGTATTCCCGGAGCTAGGCATAGTCCAGCGATGGAAGCGATGGAAGCTGACCAGCAGCTCGTCCCACTCCGGAACGTCGTCGACGGCGAACGCCATCGATGTGATCCTGTTATATGAACTCCCACCCGCCTTTGAACCTCTTAAACAGCCGGATGTAGTTAGAGGCCGCTCGAGATTCTAGGGCAGGTGGAGAAGGCCTTCTCTAGGACCAGCTCTTACACGTGGTGCCGGCAGGCCAGCTGGAGGACGGGCCGATTCAGCTTCTGCTCGATAAGGGCTTAAGTACCGCTCACCAGCATGCTGTTCGCCGTCGTGGCGTCGAAGTAAAAGGCCGCAGTTCCGCTTCTCCAGTTCTTAGTCCCCCAGCGCTGTGAGCATGGCCTCCTGTGCTTGGATGGAGGGGAGGTTGGGAGCGGCGAGGAGCTTGGCCACCCCAATCCCTCCCCCCTCCCCATCACCAGGACGTAGAATCGGTCGACGCTCCTTCTCTCGCGATTCAGGATTCGCGGTTCAGCCGGAGTCGCATCCTAAGTTCCATGCCGCAGTTGATAACAGGCTCACGTGTTCTTCACACATTACGGTTGGGCAGTTTGGCCCGGTCGAGGCCAGTTCACTGTTGGGGACGTCCGCTCGCCCGCATGCGCTTGGGAGTGTGAGTCGGCGTTTCTCTCTCATGGTCGCCATCGTCAAAGACGTTCCCTCCGTGTGCGCGCCGCAGCGGCCAGGTAAGTCTGTTGCTGGCAATGACACTAGATTCGGAAGAAGCGCCCACGGAAGAACATCCCGAAAGCACAATAAACCAGTGCAGCTCAATGCACACTCTCGCCTCTGCTTTTGCCCGCCGGCTATAGACTGACTCCAACTTCTCAACATTCTCTTTGACAGAAAAGGAGCATGTCTCAAGAATCGATAGAACCGTGGGGCTCGTCCTCCCTTTGGAACAGGAGAGACCGGTCACTCCTCACACTAATCAGAGGATATGACCTCCACTGTGAGAAGGCACCGGTCGCAGGTCAAAACAGGCCTGACATGGGTAAAACAGCCCAGATCAGACCTATCTTGGCCTGACCTGGACTGGCTACGATCGGCCGGAAGTGATGGGATAAACATTAAACAATTGTTACACAAATAAAGGTCAAAATACGTCGGAAATGACGTTTAATGACCACATATGTCATTCCAAATAGGTTTAAAGTAGTTTCCAAAAAGTCGATTTTTCCCCAAAAAATGTCAACTTTGACCTCAATTCGCGACCCCTAAATATCAATATTTTTCAAAATCATTTTGCACACATTATTTTTTACGGGAATGGAACCAGAAAATTACCCGCACGCCTAAAAATCGGATAACATAAATTTCACCCTATTGCTAAGTGCCACCCTTGGTGATGTTGTTGACATCCGAGCCGCGCCTCTTCTTCAGGATTGCTTTTCTCAGTCTCCTGCAGGACTGTGATGTAGCGGCCCGCTGTCCATAGTCCGCCCAGGTTCAAGAAAGCCCACCAGGATGACACCATGACAACGCTCGTCCGCACATGTCTCACGCCACACGCGAGGAGACCGCGAGACAGGGCTGAATATCATGCCCCAGCCGCCTTACAGTCCGAACCTGGCTCCTTTAGATTTTCACCTCTTTGGTCCCCTGAAGCAGGGCTGCGGAGTCGGAGTCGGAGTCGGAGTCGGAGTCGGTCGGAGTCGACAGTTGTGACCGGAGTCGGAGTCGGAGTCGGAGTCGATTTTAGAACCCCGAGCCGGAGTCGGAGTCGGAGTCACCGAAAATCTGTCGACTCCGCAGCCCTGCTAGGTCTGCGGAGTCGGAGTCGGGAGTTGGAGTCGGTCGGAGTCGACAATTCTGCCCGGAGTCGGAGTCGGAGTCGGAGCTGGTTTTTGAAAGCCGGAGTTGGAGTCGGAGTCGGAGTCGCCGAAAATCCATCGACTCCGCAGCCCTGCCCTGAAGGATGGCCTCCGTGGTGAACACTTCGAGACCGACGCTGAAGTCATGTGCGCTGTCAAGAACTGGGTGAAAAAGACGGAAAACGCGTTTTTCCGGGCGGAATTCCGGCGTTGGCCGGAACGCTGGGAGAAGTGTGTGCAGGCGGGCGGCGACTGGTTTGAAGCAAAGGCCACATTCAGAAACATTTGATCTATAATCTGTGAAAGTTTGAAAGTGTTAAATAAAGAAATACAGAAGTTATGACCGATTGTTCGTTACTTATTGAACGACCTAATATGTCCTACGTCAAAAATATCTGAGCACTGTAGAAAGGTTCGTATGAGCTGTAACAACGGTAACCGGATGTATTTTCGGTGGCTCGGAGAAAATTCAGCATTCTTGATAATGACAGTGGTGTATGTACAGTGCACAATATATGAATATATTCCGGGAAAAATTGATGTAGGTAACCGTGAATTTGTTGAGCATGACAGCAAAACATTTTCAATTTTACCTGCTTTTGTCTCGCATCAGTTCATTTTTAATTACAACTTTAATTAAAGCATTATTTGTTAGCTCCTCTATCATGATGAGCCTGTTGCATCCAGTGACACCAACGACATTTAAATCTGGAAGCATCTGACACCCCACAACTCGCCCAGCCTACACGCGACTCATTACTTGCCTCGCCCATAACTCAGCAATGTCCGCCACCCACTGTGCGATCCATAAAGGTCAGAGCCATCTACTGGCGACGGCGCCAACTATTGCCGGAGAGCCATCTATGGGCTGACGCTGACCTACTGTCGTCACATCGGGCGGAATAGCCGCGGCTCCGTTCAGGAGATGGGGCAATCTGGGGCAAAGTGACGCGCTGTGCCGAAGCCATAACATCTGATGAGTGTGTCCACTACGTTGGGTGTTCATAAGCCCTGTGCTTTACGTTAGGGACATTTGTGGTATGTTGGGTATTTGACATATTACACGCGCGCTGAATGTTGAAGAGGTAAGTTCGTATTCAGGTGTGGACTATTGAGTATTGACGTGTCTTTATGGTGATTGGAACCAATTCAAGTTTAGAAACTGCACCATCGGTCCTCCATAGCATGTATATTGACTATTGAGAGAAAGATATATCGAAATTAACCCTCGCCGGCCTAGGGGGGGGGGGCGGGTGCCGCCCCCCCCCCCCCCATAGGGTTTTTTTCGCGATAGCTCCGAACACGCTGGCGACAGAGAGCTGAAACTTGGCATACCTGACCTTTGATCCAAGCCGCATCTTTTGACACCAACCGCATTTTTGGGTCAGGTCAGGTCACTGACCTATGACGTCATAAGTGAACCTCTGCACGGTCTTCAGATGTCGCAACTTCGCAACGCCCTCACTGCCAGAGGAGATGTCACAGGGAAATGAAACTTGCAGGATCTAGTATCCATTATGAGTCCCACAACTTGTATATCTCGGATTTTTCCTAAAGGTCATATGAGGTCAGGTCATTTTCGTGACCTCACCATTATAAGTCAATGGGGAAAAATGAAAACTGCTATTCTGGCGCCGGGAACGATCTCCAACTATCTCAAGCACACAGAATCGTGATTTTATGCACTCCTTGCAAGGTTAGATGCGTCACTTTTGCAATGTTGACCTTGCGTGACGTCATTTATGACGTCATCAAGGTCATATTAGTTTTTCGTCAATAACTCTTGATCAAATTGAGCTAGCGAGTCGGAAAAGCCACCAATGGACTCAGGAAGACCTGCCGAATCGAATGATATGCGACATGACCTCTTTCGACCAACTTCGTGACCTGGGGGTGCTGACCTGACCTTGACCTGAGGTCAACACCCCAAGTTGACCTGACCCGGACAAAAAGTATACCATTCGACGCGCCTGAGCGAGACGAACACGATGCTGCCAAAATCGGCGCTCTGCGGCGTTTTTTTGCGAAATTATTCACCAAAAACTGAACCGTACCTTGGGGCACTTGACCTGACCTCAGAGGTCACCGGTTGACCTAGGACCTTAAAATCGGGTACCAATCTCTGCGTCTCGTAACGGCGCACACGCTCGTTTTTTCCGCGACGCGCTAGCTCCACCAGGGGCGAAACGGCGAGGGGGGGTCGTACTCGCCCCCCCCCCCCTCGGCCGGCGCGTATGTAGAAAACCAATAGGTCCGGCGAGGGTTAACTAAACAATGTTTTGTTGAAAACCCAAATATAAATAAAACACGATAATGCTTCTCCTTTACACGAATCAATAATGCATAGATTAAGGTTAGTTTACGATTTCATTAAATGTTCCTGTCGTCTTTCAAGCAATTTCGCAATTTGGCGTTGACTGAGGAACACGTTCGTCATCTTGGAGGTCTTTCAGCCGGAGTCGCAGTCGCTGCGCGCGCGCTCGCCCATCGTTGGCGCTCATTTAGCTACGCGTCTCTGGGGAGTCGAGCAGCTTTGAACCTACATACTACTCGGATAAAACTGAAGACAAATGGAGCGCGTCTCCCCCGCCATTTAGCTGATGGCTATAATGAATAACAGTGTCAGGAAGTCCCCTGCTGGGACTGGGCACACGGAGTAGTGAAGATTCATGGCTCATATATGTCTGGACTGGATAAACCGTGACTACTATAGTGGGATAATGGATAGGCTAGCCTTGCAGCTGAGCAGGGAAATATTTACAAGCCTGCAGTGAAGTTAGTATGGCAGAGCAAATATTAAATTCGATATGAGCTAGTTTAATTAAAACATATAGAGAGGTGACCTGACACTTGACAGTTACCTACGTGTAGGCCGTATGGAGGCTAGTATAATTTGTCTATCGCTCCGCGGCATCATGCTGAAGTTACAACTCTGTTAGTTAATAGGTACAGATATTTACACGCAACTGTGGTTGTAGCAGATGCACTGTGCACTGCGCAGTGCGTTCATGTCTTCATTGTGACAATCGCGTGCTATTTAGACAATGTTTATCCATCCCCAACTTATTAGCATTCAAATTAACCCGGCCGCCCGGCATGCTTCTCCCGAAGTCGTGTTAGTTCCACCCGCTGTCCCTAGATGGCACCAGTAGTATTGCGCCTGCGGGGTAGGCTGTACCGGATAACTTGGCTGCCGCGCGGCTCTGCATACCGTCACGGCGGTGACGGCAAAATGCGCCTGGGAGACGGCAATGCTTCACTCGCAGTATATACGGCTCATCCATGGCGATTTTACAACTTGCTACGATGGGTGTAATATTTTAGCGATATATTATTTTTCATGAGACCTAATCCACTTTGATCTCATGTGTCCTCAGGTCCCCAGCGACTCATAAGATGGCGCCGTGGGTGCGGCGTATCTTCCTGTACCTGATGCCGCGCCTTTTGCTGATGAGGAGGCCTCTGTACGGTCCGCGCCGGCAGAGTTTCGACCCCAAGACGCACCTGCATGACCACGTGTGCACCGCCGGTGCCGAGTATATGTCCGGGTGAGTGGGATAGTAACGACTGTCTGGGATTACACGCGTGTGTATTGGCCTGAGTGGCACTTACATCAGGCACATATCGTATTAAGAAGTCAGTGACATATCAGCATTAATAGATTGATGTCCTTGTTAACCTTTCGGTGATGTGAACCTGTTTTACGCCTGTCGGTTGCAGTAATGCATTCCAATTAAATATGTTTTGTTTAAATTATTGAAATGAAAACCTTAACCCTCGCCCGTATTGGTGTTTTTCCAGCCGCGAACGTATAAGGGGGGGGGGGGTCCGTTGGACCCCCCCTTGCCGTTTCGCCCCTGATCGAGCTAGAGCTTCGCGGAAAAAACGAGCGTGTTGCCCGTGACGAGAGGAAGCCGATGATACCCAATTTTAAGGTCTTAGGTCATTTGTTGACCTTGCAGGTCAGGTCAATGACCCCAAAGGCGGGAAAATGGGGACCTGTTAGAACGTCGCAAAGTGTGGCTGCTATGGGGTTTTTCGGGGTGCTGATCACGAATATCATGTTAGTTTTGATCACAGATGATGTCTTCATGTATTTAGGCCAGGTCGGGTCAGGTCAGGTCAGGTCAACCAGTAAGGGTATTCGTAGTAGGTGGCAACCGCCTCTGACAGCTTCGTAACATGTTACGAAGGCACCAAAACTACTTCGTAAATGTTCATATGGTTGCTTAATTCGAATTCAGCTCCAAAAACTGGCCTAGAAACATATAAAACTCGAAAAAGTGAACCGAGGTCATCAAAGGTCAATGACCTGACCTGACCTTCAGGTGACCTTGACACCCACCCTAATGCATGGGGGCAACATCATATCATATATTTGAACGCTTGAAACCACGAAAACACTGCAAACGCGCGGCTAATGCGAGCCGACATACGCCGAATCGCGATTCCAGCCAAACATGGTCTCGAAAAGTAGGTCACAGGTCAAAGGTCACTTGGGTCAGGGTCGTGAAATTTTCAGGGTAGGTGTGAAATTGATGAACGCGAGGGTACTGAAAGTTTCGTCGCGATCGGCCGCTTTTTACGCGAGTTATTCGCGAAAAACCATGGGGGGGGGGTCCGTTCGACCCCCCTATACGGGCGAGGGTTAATGCCTACTGCTTAACAAACGCTCTCTCTCGGAGTTCAATTATCTGACGCTTTCTCCGATGACAGCATTGCCTTATTGGAGCGACAGGTTTGATGACGTCATTGGCTCGTTTCAGGGACACGTTCCGGGACCCGTACGCAGATGACTCCACGCCGTCTGCGTTTAAACTGAACGGTGGTTGTGGTGCACAAAATTCAGGTAGGTAATGTCCGGCATTAATCATCACTGAAAAACATAATTTTACTTCATAATTAGCAAAGAAAGGCGTGACTGACACCAGCGAATTAGTAACTGTTTGTTCTGGTCAGGGCATCCTTCCTAGAATTTCCTTAAACTACCGATATTTTTATATCATGTCGTGCATTATTCTGCAACGTCAATGTTACAGCCGATAAGAATAAATATGTTACCCAGTCACTGGCTGGCTGGACTGTTCTTCCTGTTTATCAGTGACCACGGTATGTGCACTGTTGTAAGTGACGCTGTACCTCTGCCGACTGTCAGATATATTCGGGTGCACCAGCGAGGAGCCCCAATACCCTCCGGAGGTACAGCGGGCGCTGGAGGGCGTCCAGTTCATCGCCCGACATATCAAGGAAGAAGATAAAACCAACGAGGTATCAACTTATGACGACGACAGGATACTCATTTTGTATTATTGTTGGTAGTCAGTTGCACATTCATTTCAACACAAAAGTTAATGTCACTTTGCACATTTTGTTGTTAGCCTTAGCTCTGACAGCCTGCACATTAATATCAAATCACTCTTCTCTTTTAGTGGAGCTAAACAATGTTTCATTTTAAACTTAACATTGATGTTAGCCGTATTAAACTTAGACAGCTTTCGGGCTACGTTCCCTCCAGTCATCATTTAACAAACATTTAAATATATTATATTACCCAAACTAAATGTAGCCTAATAACGTATGCGTGTACTTGTGGTAAGTAAAAATGTCCATATTTATATTTATTCGGTGTTGTGTTTATTCAGAGTTTCCTTCTTCGACCTGTCCAAACTTTTGTCAATTATTAGTACTTATCCTGTGGACCCTCCTTCAAGTGTTCGCTTTTAGAGATCCGATTTCATCGACTACACCTACCTTTGTGTGACAAACTGCCTGATGTATTCTGAGAGCGACACATTTAATAAAATGTCTGCACGGCATTGTTAATGTTATTTCCGCGTCACGAAATCGAACTGTATCACGGAAACCATAAAAGGTACCAATACTAAAAACCACTATGAAGTGAAGCAAGTTAGCCTATAAATGGGTAATTGAATTTCAAATATCAACTTCTTATCGCATTTTTTCCTAAATTGTTGTGTCATCTTATTTTAAAAGTAAAAAATAAGTCACCACATGGTGTTAAACAAAAAGTTTCAAAAAAATAATTATATTTATTTGCTTTGGCAGATGATATTGCCATGGTAAAAACAAACGGGAAAATGTTCAACACACAGTTTTCAGGCAGTTTGTCGCCAACTCTCAAATATTACGCCAGAACATGCCCACATAAAAATGTTCAGCTTTGGCGATTGGGCTGCCAGTGAATCATTCGCCAACAGTTCATTGCTCGAATGCTCCGTTGATTCGCTCTTATTCCAGTCGCACGTTTGTGGCAACATATTCTACCAGACGTTCAAAGAGGACGTAAATATGTATTGGTCTTTTCTTTGAAAGGAACACAAAATCTTAAACTTTGTCGTTTGCTGCCACGAAAATTTCCTCGTTCGAGGGATATCAAAGGTCCGACTGCTTATTCATTCAAGTATATAATCGTGTACATACTTATGCATTTATGTATATATTAATGTATATAAGCATACCCATGCAAGCTCTTGGCCCAACGGCCAGCAGCGCTGGAAATTGCACATTGCTCGAATGCAGATAAGAAAATTGGAAAGCAAACCACAATGCTAAGTTAACTAAGTACTTGTATTAATTTGCCTTTCTTGTTATGAAAACGCTAATTGATGACTTTTCATACAATAAACTAATCTGACTCATCCTGAGATGCATTGTGTTTTCCGAAAAGGCTCACTTGGTTTAAGTATATAAGTGGAAGAGTCACTTACAAGCGCTGGTGCAAGTCAGCTTGTGTGGCCGCCCTCTTTTTTAGAGTCTTGACCAAAGCTCCCACTCACTATCATTGCCGATCTTCAGATACATAATTACGTGGGCTCAAAGATTTTCGATGTCGCCATACCACTGTTGACGAATGCATTCATTCGGGAATCCTGGATATCTATGCATGTGATGCATCATGATGCATCAGATCAGCACACTGAGCAAGATAGATTTGCCTCCAAACTTTTCTTGTCCCCTCTATCTGACATGTCACACACCCTACGTCTCTGTGGCTATCTCAACATGTTTATTCTCTTTACAGCTATCACTCGCGCCCCCTATCTCTTTCCCTACTGAGGCTTTCTTTCTCTCTTCATTCATCTCTTCACAGCATTCAGTCCTTCCCCTTATCCGTTTCCTCCTTCCTCCGTGAACCTTTCCCTGATGTCTCTCAGTCCGTTGCTCTACTGTTGACCATTTTGTCAACGCGTGTCAGTAAGTCCAGGTATGGTCTAGGTTTCCGTCTCCGTCTCTATTTCTGTCTGTTTTATGGTTTTTCTTCTCTCTCTCTCTCTCTCTCTCTCTCTCTCTCTCTCTCTCTCTCTCTCTCTCTCTCTCTCTCTCTCTCTCTCTCTCTCTCTCTCTCTCTCTCTCTCTCTCTCTCTCTCTCTCTCTCTCTCTCTCTCTCTCTCTCTCTCTCTCCATCTCTCTCTCTCTCTCTCTCTCTCTCTCTCTCTCTCTCTCTCTCTCTCTCTCTCTCTCTCTCTCTCTCTCTCTCTCTCTCTCTCTCTCTCTCTCTCTCTCTCTCTCTCTCTCTCTCTCTCTTATTATTACTTTCACTCTCACTCACTCCTATCATTCTCTTTCCCTTTTTTTTCCTGGTTTGCTCCACCTTATGCTTCCTGCACCTATATTTATCCCTTCCACTCTCACATGTAAACCTTCATCGCTTTCCTGTCAGTCTCACTGAGCTCCTCGCCTTCTTTTCTCCTATCAACTCTCCCTCCTGTCCCCGTCCCACTCCCTCCTATATTCCTCCCCTTCCTCCATCTTCCCTCCCTCCCTCCCTGTCTGTTCCTCTCTCCCGGCTCCCCGTTTCGGGCCGGCGGACATATCGTGACCCGGCTCGTGGTTTGCAGGCTCGCGAAGAGTGGAAGTACGCCGCGCTCGTGCTGGACCGTCTCTTCCTGCTCCTCTTCCTGACCTCCAACATTGCCGGCACGGCACTCATTTTCCTGCGCGCCCCGTCCCTGTACGACTATAGCCGGCCCATAGACATCGACCATAGTACCATCGGCATCTATGCGCCGTCGCCGGGCGAGCCGGAGGATGTGGGCATGTATAACATTGGCCCGTAGTGGCGCCGGCGGGCGCCGGCCGCCCACCCGCGGTACGTGGCCGTCACCTGCCTGCGCGTGTCGTGTGGTTCAGCCGCGTGCCGTGCCGTGCCGTGCCGTGCCGTGCAGGTTCGCACACATGGGACGGCTTCCAGCTACTGCGCATGCCCTCAGTATCGCATGACCGTGTCGGCCGGCTTGGCGCAGTTAAATGGACCGTAAATTGACCACTGCTGGGAGAGGAGGCGGGCCCGCCCGCAGGTCAGCTGATAAACACATCTACTAAACAATATTAATCGCACAGCTAAACCAATGATGAGCTACCATGCGCCGGGTTTGGGCCTTACTCACCGGTCTTTATAATTAAGATTTATCATTTTTATATTAAACTAGATAACAACTCAGTGATAACTAGTGTACGGTGAAGGTCATTTTCCACGGACCCTGTTCTGTACTGTGCAGTGCAGGTTTTCAGAGACCTCAGAGTGACTCCAGCTCAGGTAAGCATGTGCCTCGGATGGTTCCGGGCCGTCCCAGGCTGCTGGGCATGCTCCCTGTCCGCTGTCGGCGCTACAGCCTGCCGGCCGGCGGTGCCCGCCTCCTCTCCCTCACTAACTGAACAAGTCGGACTCTGGTGAGCAGTCAGTATACGCATTCCACCTGAGTTCTCTCTTCTCACAGTCTGCCCACTCACTCTCTCTTTAGCGCCGCGTCTCTCTCTCTCTCTCTCTCTCTCTGGCTGCCGGTTTGGCCTCGCTCGGGTGTGTGTATGCGTGTCGATGCTGCTGTTGTGAACGCTGCCGCTGCTGCCGCTGCTGCTGCTGCTGTTGTCAGACCTGCACTCACCTCCTGCACAGTGCGGCCGTTGGCCGCTGCTCTCGCCCGCGCTCCGCCCTCCTCTACCCTCTCTGCCCCTCTACCCACCTTCAAACGCTGTCACCTGCACTTTTGGCGGCGCGATCACCGTCTCATTCGTAGGCGATTGTAGACACAGTCACCCTCCAATGACACACTGTTCAACTAGTTTATAGTTCATCTAGGTTTCTACATTTCAATGAGTTGTTTCTACCGATGACACTTCTCGTCATTTTTAGTTTTGAGCGACGAGGTTTGTTTGGTTACCAATCTAACTTTTCGATGTTGTTAAAAATATCACTCATACCTATGCATTACAGACTTTCCCTTCATCTGCTTTTACTATGCTAATTTACTTCTAGACGATGAATGTTTTCGCGTAATGCACGCAAATCGCCTTCGAATTGATGTAGGGCCCTACAAGGTGCACGAATTGTGAATAACAAACTCACTAATACTCATCAATTCCTTCCATGTCCTCAAATTCTTCCAGTGATATTTGTTTCAAGGGTTTTAGTCGTTTTATTATGTTTTCGCTATATGGGTATCGAATTGTTGTTTGAGTCACTTGTTATTTCTGTCCGAACTTCTTTTGTGTTTCATAAAACTTTTTACTGAAAAATGACCTTCTTGGTTTCTCAGTACCTTATAGAGTTGCTGATTCGCTCATTTTTTCATTCGACTTCGTTCTTATCTATACGTAATATTCGAACTTCACGCTGTTCTGTTACGAGTATTTCATTTTGTTTCTTTCGTACTCTTGCATCAGAGTTATTTCTTTTCTATTTAAGTGCTGCGAATTTCCTGATTCAGTATGAAAGCTGCCCTATCTACCTACTCTAAAATTTCATCCAAACTATTCGTATCAAATTCCAAACACGACTTGCCTACCACTTCATCAACCTTCCCTTAGAAAAGAATCCTTCCTTTAACAAATTTAACCTTGCATGTCATGCCCTTGAAGTTACCACTACCCTACTTGAGCCTCGGCTGCCGCTGCTGCTGACATGCTGACGATGGTGATGCTGCTGATGCTGATGCTTATGCTGCTGGTGCTGCTATCATGGCGTCGGTTTGGGCTGGAATGGTTGGCTCGCATGGTGCTACATCACGCTCAGTCTGGCGTGCTTTCTCTATCTCTGAATCTGACTGTTGGAAATGGTTTATTGTTTTGTTACGCTGCTCACCAGAAGTCGCCATAACTGAGGGATTGTGCGGGATGGGGAAGGGGCGCCGCGGTCTCGATATAAGGGGTCGGACGGACTGGCGAAAATATCGGAATCGCTGACACGGCGGTGCGCTGCGACGAATGAACACAGCCTGCGCTAGAACAGGCTGCTGGGAACATTTGGCGCGAGGAAAGGCGCGGTATGAAAGATGTGTGACCAGTGAATCAGCGTGCGCCATCAAAAGCAAGTAAGAACGACAAACTGAAGTGACTTGTCTTAGAGCTGACAAACTATTGAGGGTAATTCGGGCCATTCTGATAAAACTAATTGCTGCAAGTCGACCACGTACTCAAAACTGAATAAGAAGCGGTCAGTAGCAAAGAAAGGAACATAATTGAATCAAACAGAAAACACCGACTATGCTTGCGTTTGAGGAAATCGCTCATTGAATACCCCATCGTAACACAGCGTTGACGGTCTTCGCTGGAGGGGCATAGTCATTTCACCTTCACTTGCACTGCTGGAAGCGCCGTCAATTTCGAAAGAAAGCGAAATGCACCATGGTTGGATCAACATAATCTACAGAAGATAATGTTGATTTTGATAGATAAGCATGGTATGTGGTGCAAGTACGACGTGAGAAAATGCGTGGCAGGACAAATGATTGATGTCTTATGACCTCTACGCAGTCTAATGCAGCCTGCTCGGAGACGGACCTATGGTAACCAACAGCTGCTACCCCGCCTTTACGTGACGGTGATTGAATGGTGTCCACCATGTCTTATTAATTTGGAGGCCGTTTACAGCGTTATATCTATTTGAATGGTACCTATTTGATTGATGTGGATGATGAGACAAGTTAGACTTTGGTGATTTAATTGTAGGTGCAATTCCTAGTGCGCTTATACGAGATTTTGAAATTGGAATTTGGAAACCCTTATCACCATCGAACGCTGCCTATGTTTTTTTTCATTTGGTAAACGTCTTTTGAATCGATGAAAGTATTGTTGTTTACTAGTCGTATCAAGTAAATTACATTTCGCTTATTTCGTTGGATCTATTCCGGACGATATCGTTTTTTTCATGTCATTAGAGACACTGTCAGTGATGAAGTTTAATTGCCACGCTCGCCTAAATAGGTACCTGTGATAGTTTATGCTGATTAGGTGTGTGTTTTTAATTAACTGCTAGTTATCTTACCATGGATGAAAATAATGGACGTGTCGTCCAGCAGACCGTCAATCCAGGACATGTCGACTGGGTCCTGACGCTGTCCTCCACTGAACACCACGCCACCATCAGCCGGGACCTGCCGTCGTCTCCAGCTGGGTCCCACTGTCGTCTTCAGCCGGACCGCGCTATCTAAGCGGCGTGTGGAGTGTGTGACGGACGCTCTGCCGCTCGGAGACGGACCCGCTCCCCGGGGGACCACTCCATCACACCGTCGACGGGGACGGCCCGCCTGACGACACCGACGGTCCATCCGTCGACACCGACGATTTGCCTGCGGCGGTGACCGACGATTTGCCTGCGGCGGTGACCGACGGTCGTCGGAGCAGCGGCGCTATCGGCCAGCTCGGCGGTTTTCGACGGTGTTCGCTCGGGAATCGCCTCAGGTGCCGCGATATTTGGTGGACAGATGTGATTCGCTGCTGATACCATATCAATATTCGCGATGTATCCGTGCTATAACTGTCAGATTCCCCGTGTATCCGTGCCGCCCGCCCACCACCGCCGCCCTCTAACCGGCCCCGTGCCCGTGTGCCGCCGTGTTGCAGATCATCCAGGACTGGAAGTACGTGGCCATGGTGCTCGACCGGCTCTTCCTGTGGCTGTTCACTCTGGCGTGCGTGCTCGGCACGGTGGCCATCATATTCCAGGCGCCCTCTCTGTACGACACGCGGGACGCCATCGACTCGCAGTACTCCAATATCAAGGTGCCCACCACCGACCCCAGCTACGGCGGCTGAGCGGCTGGGCTGCTGAGCGTCTGACCGGCTGGGCTGCTGAGCGGCTGACTGGCTGGGCTGCTGGGCGTCTGAGCGGCTGGACGGCTGGACGGCTGGCTGAGCAGTGCTGACCGCAGCTTCCAGTGTCACTAACCCCACCACCCGGCAGTGAGCCGTGAAACGAGAAGACCCGGCCGGCACCAGTCAGCAGTCAGTCAGCGGTGGCAGCTTAGTCAGCGGGCGTCAGCGGTCAGCAGCGACGGACGCTCAGCGCCGGCCGTCAACAGTCAGCAGGTCACCGGCAGGGGGCAGCACTGCTGCCGCCGCGGCCGACTCCGGGCGACTGAACGGCGACAGGCCGTTACCGGCTGGTGGGGCGCCTGCTGTATCACAGAGCAGCGTCTCCCGGGTCCACCTCCCCTCTCAGAATCTCTAACCGGTCACTGGACGCTCCAATGTATGACGGCAGCGGTCCCCGCAGTCGGTCTGTGTGGGGTTATCACCGTTCGGTGACTGTTGGCAAGTAGAGTGCATGGGCATCGTGCATAGGTGGCCGGAAAGTGTAGCGATGGGCGGATTAATCTCAATGTGGGTCAGTGTGGATCAATATTAGGCGATTGGAATCACATGCTCGTAGTTTGCGGTTAACCTGTTTCTTTATCTTTTCGGTGAAAACTAAGCAGGTCGTGTAATCTTTTCGAATGCTGACTTTCCATATTAAAAAGTAAGTTATGAGAAGATGAACGCCCATCTTTTCGCCCATGACATCTTTTTCATGTAGGCCGATTTAACCTCAGCCCGTTTCGTAGCAGCTTTCGCTAGTTTTCTGAAAGTCAAAGTGAGAGCCAAAGTGAGAATCAAATTAAAAACATGGCGACGCAATGTGTGTGTAAATGTACCTACAATCTACATGTAATGTGCATACGTGCGTAAGTGATATCTGTCCCAGAGACCAGACGGTGAGGGATGTGCTCTAAGGTGCTTCCTTTATGCTCTGATAAATATCCAACCAGTTATGAATTCAATTGTAGCTATCGTGCTGGTTTCCATGTTGGCACTAATATAAGCAAAAATCAATTATATGAAGATGTAAAGCCAAACACAGTGTGATTCACTTTCGATTTATGCAATGTGCTATTTCAATGTAGGCAGTCTATGTATAACACTATGTTCCTGTACATATGCGTGGATTAGTTCTCTCTGGTTTCTGTGCATCATGTAAGCAATCCTCTAGACCGTAGTAAACTGTAAATATGTCGGAGAAATGTGAGAATTGTACATAGCTACGCTGCAACCATGGTGTGTGACAGTGCTGTTGAAATGATAACCAAGTGATCGTGCTTCGCCGCACTGTTTGACCGTGCTTCGCTGCAACCAGTGACATATGCGACAGCTTTCTATACAGGTGCCAAGTGTGTACCGTGCCAAGATATTTATCAATTGTTAAATCAGTTTGTTGATTGTTGAATCCCGTGATGCTGATCTTCGTTTAGATTGAGGTTACCTAGATTTTGTATGACGCGTTTAATACGTGACCTGTGTGATGTCAACCTCTTGCTTCGTCTGGACACCTGAACTATCATCTTAACGGCGTTTCTAAGAAAATGACAGAAAGATCACATCTGTTTTTAGCGTGGATTACGTTATCGTGATGGATGATCATAAACTTTATGAGCTTAACTTAACGGCTTTAATCGGGATGGAAGCTGGGGCAGCCAGAATGAGACATAAAAGTCCAAATAACACCATAGTTGGAAGACAGATGGGCCACTAAAAATGTCCGCTATCTCCCGTCTTTCACGTCCAAACTTCTGTTATCAGTCCTGGCGGCCAAATCGAACTGTGGATGGTGGTCGATCATTCTGTTGGCGTCCTGAGCTAGCTCGGAAAGCTTAATGCCAATTACTTCCTTACACCACCGGCGTCGTACAGACAGGAGTCAGGTAATTACGTTACAACACTAATTTACACTGCATGGAATGTTTTATGCGCACTTACTTTACTGCTACATTAAATACTTCATATTTCCAATCAAGCACTCCTACATATTTCAGCTTTTCCTCTGCCTGGCATCCCGCCGCGGTGAACCGATGGCAGCTTCAAGAGCGTTTCTGAGACACAGACATAGCCCAGGTTTATTAGCCGTTTTGCCGCCGCACAAATTGCCTGGCAAGATGGCGGCGTCCGGTGTCAGCAGCACCGCGCGGCGCAGCTGTAGACGGCATCTCCGAACGATAAAAACACCGACACGACCGAAATCGCCCCGTTTATTGACATCCACCAGAGTTGCAACGTAAAAAGCCCTCGCTCGCTGATTGTCTCACACCCAACTGATGTCAGTCGCAGTCCTCCGGACATCCCCAGGGCCCCGTAACGCGCAGAGCGGGCTCTTTGAGCCGCTCTCAGCAGCCGTCTCTTCCCGATCTCAGGTCCACCACATGCATCCACAGCAAACGGTAGGTATATGTGCGCCCTGACCTCCGGTGATGGGCCGTGTGATCACATAGGTACAGAACAGCGCATAGCGCAGCCAATGCACCCGATGACTTACTGATCGGCCTGATGACACCATAACGCCGTCGTATAGTCTGACGCGTCCCGCTCACAGTGGATGACAGAAAATAGGGATGCTAGAGGTATGCGCTATAGCTGGGTGACTGTAAAAACTGATTGAGTGTAGGTGCTGTTCTATTCTCTCGGCTCTGTAGCCCGCAAACATTTATATCGCTAGTGCTCAGCAGGGATGATCAAACGTAAACAGATCCGAGCATACAGACACGTACGCAGATATGGTACACGCTAAAACGCACACTTACTACACCACTGATCAGTGATCACGCACGCATCCAAAGCTGCCAAATTAACACTCGTTATTGCTGCCAGATCTTGAAGATTCAGATCACCCACCGCATACTGCACCACCATCGAAACAGGCGGCGCGTAACATTGAGCAAGTGACTCGGAACCGGCGGCCGGTCCCTTCGAGCCCACCCACAGGATCCGCACCGGGACCCCGCCCTGGACCCAGAGGACCCGCCTCAGGCTCCGGGGATACACCGAGCCCCTAGGGGACATGTGGCGACAACGTCAACAAGTTGCGATTGCATTCGAGCAGATTATGTAGCCTATGAGACATTGCTGATGTTGTAGGTATTGCATAGGGTGCCCGCATATGAGCTCATCCACACTGTTACTATCCAGTTCAATCGAGGTCTGCATACATGACACCACTGTCCATCATATAGTCGAGGCATGGTCTCTTTCGGCACCATATTTTCATAAAAGCTGTCATTATCACGACTTCTCACAACGGAATATTGGGCACCCATTTGATCCGTTTGATCCGTTTGGTACTTATCTAACTAGGAAATTTTATGTAGTGGTTGTTTTCTAGAAGAGCCTTTCAAATGAAATGTCGATTGGTTGGCTTCTTTGCTCTTAATTTCAATTAAATCGGTGTCCAATGTTCCGTCATGGAAAGGACTATACGCATCGTTCGGCCGAGTATCGTTCGTTCGCATCGTTCGGGTGTGCCGAACAGAGGTCAGCAATCTATTTTGGTAGTATCCCCGCGAGATAACCCCCGAGGCCTAGAAATAGCCCAGTGGCATCTTAGTGGCTTCGCTATTATTGAACGGTCAACCCATACGCAAACAAACTCTTACACATGTTCGGATAGCCCATCCTCGAAGAAACTGAGCCTTATCTTCAGTAGTTGAGACTGGAATGACGACTGTCTGATCGAGAACTTCAAAGCCAAGCCACGTCACTGGCACATGTCTCAGTCCGTAACATCCGCGCGCTATTGATCGTTGTCGGGCCGTCTTGCGGCTCTCGATCGCCCGCTGTCGGCCGGGTCAGCTCGCGGCGGCTGTCGGAATTCTCCCTGCTCGCACCCGGCAGTGATTCGCGCTGTGCTCACTCGCCCCGAAACCATCCGATTCGTTTACGCACCAGCGTTCCAGAGCTGCGACAAACGGCTCGGATCGCGGCGTGGCCGACGCGTCCGGTTTCGTCGGGAGCGTGCCTCGGTTTGGAACGCCTGCTAACGGGCCGCACGGAGCCGACCCAGCGGCCGTCCGCGACCTCCGCGCTCGCCACTGTGGATCGATACCGGCCCGAGCAGCGGTGTCATTTTCTCTGTGATGGGAGACCGGCGCCCTGCTTTGGTCTCCAGCTGCATCAAGACTGCCGAATGCCACGGCAACAATAAATTCCAGCTGCATTTGAACAAGGAAATGGACTCCAGTCGTAAAGCGGCCGCGAAAACCAGTCACAATGTGGTGGAGGTATCCCGCTCTGCGTGACACGATCTCAGTTCGTTTCGTGGCAACAGAGGGCTACGGCAGAAATCCCCACAAATAGAGCGAGCAGTCTCGGCCAGTTCTTTGTGTGAGTTTCTAGATAACTGGCAACACCCGGACCGAGGAAGCGGCAGAAACGGACAAAGGGTCGTGTTTAACGGGCCGATGTAGCGGGGTGAGATTCCGCTCCGACGGATGGTCGCAAAATCCCGAGAATGGGCTCTAGCTGCAGAACACCAGCAGCTAGATAAATAAGGATGTTAAATAAAAGTGACAAGGAGCCAAACAAACACAAACAAACCCTACCAGACCACACAAAGTCAGCACTAACACAGAGCATGAGGCTTGAGCTGGCCAGACTAAAAGAGCTGAACACTTGCATATGTGTACACTTGTATGAAAACTTAACGCTAAAATCTAGCCTGTGAGCATGATTTGCACCGTGTAATTGATCCCGGTAATGAGCTCAGACTGAATCTTGCAAGAACTTTGAGCAGTTTGCATATTACCATGGAAAGGTGCAATCTAATGCATCCGATGTAAATGAACATTATAATAATTCTGATTGTGAAAATGTGCTTCGGCATATAAAGCTTCGTCCGTGTTTTCCTAGCGCAATTATGCCGCTTGATAAGTCAAAAGTCCATGCGGGATGTCACTGCCGGATAAAATATGGAAGCTCATGTCTAACAGTCGGCGACCCTATTTCCAACAAGCTGTCACTGAGGTACGATTTACTTGAGCTCCGCTGACAAAACGTAACAAAATGCCAATTATTCCTAATCGACATTGGAAATGATTAATGTATCATTTCTGTGGAGCAAAATCGCCTCATCGGCGTTTTGAGACGCTAGCGAAGTCGGCCCGGGCGTTCGCTCGGCATTAAACGTCCGACGTTCAGCGCACTATTAAGCACTAAAGTCATTATGTTGATCATTAGGGGACCAGTCCCATTTGAGCCGGTGCCATCACAAGCTCTGCAGCCTTTATACACAGCGCCATCTCCGGCGACGTGTCCGTGATTAAAGGGACTCTGGAGAAAAAAGTGGGAGCGCTGTGGCTTTTCTGACAGTGAATATCCGAACACATTATCTGTGAATGGCTCGCGGAGCGCCAACTTCGAGCGCCTTCGAAGGAAACACCCTGAATGATCACTCTATGCTGCAGCCTCCCCCGGCGCCTAGTTGCAAAGTTTCCTCTCAAGTTGGTGGCACGTCGTCAGCCTTTTTATCGGGTTTAGCGTGCTCCGAGTGTCGGCCCGTCAGCTGCTCTCAGAGCAACCAGCAGCGACCTGCCAAAACAGCGCCGGCGGACGTCTCCGCTTCACTCCTCCGCTCCTCGCCCATTTACTCCGCCACTCCTCAGCTCCGTCACTGAACGCAGCACCTAGTGACATTGCATATTCCTCCAGCATATCTGCGTAACCAACCGATATCACCCGCTTGTCAAACCGATACCGACTCCCGCTCTTCTCTGCCTAGTTTTCACTCACTCCCTCTCCCTCTTTCCCTCTCCCCCCTCTCTCTCTCTCTCTCTCTCTCCCTCCATCTCTCTCCAGCTCTCCCCATCGTCGCGCTACTCTCCCTTCGCCATTGCATTAGAGAGCCAGCATTATATCTACCGGACGTGTCGCTACTCTCGTCTCTGACGGGATCCGTCGTCTCCGTGTCCATGCCACGTCCATCGCCCTGTCACCCTCTGATCACAGTTCAGTCAGCGGCCAAACTAGCAACGGACCAACAACAAACAGCCTCGCCACTGCTCCCCACTCCCCGTCACCGCTGTGTTCACTTTTTTTCATCACTGTTGAGCTCGGTCACTAGGTCGCCAGGTCACCAAGGGCACCGTCAATCACCAGGTCACCTTGTCGTCAAGGTTCACCACAGGTCCGCGCCTCTCACGCCTCGCCCGCGAACATGCCCATCTGATGGGCGACCTCTGACAGCTGAATATCGATGGCTTGCGTGGTGTCGTAGAGGAACGGCGAGTCGCACAGGATGATGAGCGTGCCGAGCAGCGAGACCACGCTGAAGACGATCAGCAGCACCCTGTCGATGACGGTGGCGATGAAGGCCCAGTCCTGGTCCTCCTGCAATCAGACAGGCGGCCGCCGATCAATAGAGCGCCGGCCGCCGCCCGCAGCCGCCGCCCGCCCGTAGCAGCCAGTCTGCGGGCGCACCGGCACCGGGCGGGCGGGGAGGGGCAAGGAGGGTATCTAGGGACAGGGAGAAACATCTCCTGGTCACAGAATAGCTCAGGATACACAGGCTTTCCCGAGTAACATCAGTGATGAATGGAAAAGAAGGGATCAGGATGAAACACAGGCACACACTGAAGGAAAGCTAGCCAATCCATCGTTCCTGCTCCCATCCACTCGAGCCTAGCTCGAGAGGCTTCCGCAGCTCGCTCCCAAACAGACTTGTTTACCAGTGCCGTCTCCAACAGAGAGGGAAGGGGGGACTCCGCATTGGACGCCAGGGCGGCACCCAGCTGATACCGACCGACAGGCGGGCGCGGCCGCCGTCTCGGCTAGACTCGCCGGTCCTCAGAATCTGCTTCTGATACATATCAATAATATCCTACACGTGATGTCACTGCCGGTTCATCACACTATGCGTTGCTTGTTCCCCGTCCTGTCCGTCTGATCCCCTACTGTCTTACGGGTGTTTCCCAAAAATGTCCGTCCCAATGTCCCCACATCGTGTCCGCCCCTCCCCACACCGTGTCCGCTCCTTCCCCACACAATGTCCGACCCTCTCCCACCATGTCCATCCGCCCTAAATCGCGTCCGTTCCTCCCCCACACCGTGTCCACCCTCCCCAAATCGTGCCCGCCCACCCCACCCCACTCCGTGTGCCCGCCCACCCCACCCCACTCCGTGTGCCCGCCCGTTTGGCGACAAGAGGCGGTCCGCGGTTCGCTCAACTGGTGCGGCGCCGCCGGGGGATGGCAGATCGCCAACCGGCACTGATAGGGCCGCAGACCAAACAGGCATACCGACAGAGCTGGAAACGGGGTGGAACGGGATGGTGACAGCAAGGAACAGACTGAGACAGAGTGGGACGGTGGGATAGTGTGGAAAAGAGTGGGACAGAGTGGGACGGAACGGCGTGGGACGGGGTGGGGCAATTTGGGACGGAGTGGAACGGAGGGACAGTGTGGAACAGAGTGGGACAGAGATGGGAGAGAGGGGCACGGAGTAGGACCGAGTGGGGAGCGGGTGAGAGCGAAACTGGACCGGCTGGGCCCAGTCCGGGCAGGTGCCACATACACACCATTGCAGGAATAGGAAAGACAGAGAGAAAGAGAGAGACAGAGAGAAAGAGAGAGAGAGAGAGAGAGAGAGAGAGAGAGAGAGAGAGAGAGAGAGAGAGAGAGAGAGAGAGAGAGAGAGAGAGAGAGACCATAGAAAACTCAATCGTTGATGGTCGCAAGCTACCAGGCGACTCGCCTATCATAAAATACTCTGGCTTGACAGCCATTATTAATGCGTGGGGAGTATGCAGGTAGGCAAACATCCCATTCCGAAGTATTCAGTTGATTGAGATGAACCATAAAAGCACAAGGAGAGTGAAATGAACGCATCAGGAATATGAAGGATACAATTGAAAAATATATAATCTGCATGCAAGAGAAACGGAAAGGAATCTACTAACTAGTAGTAGGCAAATCAATTGTTCACCACACTTTCAAGGACTTTCAAGAAAATGCGTACCATCAGACTTCCGCTGCGAGTGCGTGGTCAGCGCCGTCCAATTACGTCTCAGCTATTTGCTAACACACTTAAGGAGTCCTCACCGTCGTCAGCGAAGTTAGCAGACCATCACCCTGGTCTGAGTCATCGACTTACCTCGTCCAGACTCAGCTCAGACTCCTGCTGAGTGCTCACTTCATCAACACTACTGCTTGCGTGTTCTCAATCTCACCTCGTTGAGCTCCTCGCCCACGTGCTCTCACCTCGTTAATTAAGCTCCCCTCTCACGTGTTTTCTTACCTCGTCAAACTGATCCTGCACCTTCCAGCAGTGGTGCACAAACTGCACGTTCTGGATGGCTCGCTCGATCTCGTACGGGAAGCGGCGCTCGTCGCCGAAGAAGTTGAGCGCCTGTAGGCGGGCGCTGTCGGCCACCTCGGCATGCACCGGGTGAAACTGGCCGGGCAGGGTGGCCCCCGGAGGCTGAGTAGGCTCGAACGGCGTCTGCGGTTGCGGCGGCGCCCGCTGCGGCACCTTCATCAGCACCAGGCGCGGCAGCTCCTGCAGGAAGAAGCGCCGCACCCAGGGCGCCATCCGGTGCGTGGACGGCTTCCGGTAGTGGATGTTCAGGATGACGATGGTGGAGATCACAGAAATGGTGACAAGAATCATGGTGAAGAGCAGGTACTTGCCGAGCAGCGGCACCGCCAGAGACGTGGAGGGTATGATCTCGGAGATAAGCAGGAAGAACATGGTCTGGGAGAGAAGAATGGTGATGCAGAGGGCCACCTTCTCCCCAGAGTCAGCCGGCAGGTAGAACACCAGGACGGAGAGGTAGGAGAGTGCCACGCACGGGATGATGAGGTTCACCGTGTAGAACAGCGTCTTCCGCCGCAGCGTCACGTTGAAGTAGATATCTGCAAAAACAGACGAGAGCAGCGTTAGTATCGCAGTTCAGCAGAACGGTATTGACTAATGCTGACTGAGCGAAACTTTCTGGGACCCAGTTGGCGAGTTTTTTCCCACTCGGAGGCACGTCGGTGAAAAATAGCGTCCCGAAGGTGGATTCAGTCCCCAGGCCTCATCAGTATTCAAGTGCCGCCAAACGTCAAACCGAGTTTCGGCGAGGCCTTCAGCGAGGCAGTGAGCCGAGAGGCTGTCCAGACTGGCGGCGGGACAGCGTCATATCGTCCGCCGCCTTCAGTGCCGCCACATCTCCGCGCGGAGCACCATGTCACCATCAAACAAAACGGCGACACGAATTGACCTCTTCCATCTGGCGCTGGTGAAAACAAAGTGATCCCACGGCACAAAAGACCTGCCATGGCGGCCGACATATACGGTCCATTTTTCTGCGTTAAAATTTAAACGAGGCAATAAATAGCAGCACATAGTGCGACGCCATATAAATTACTTATTTTAGATAAATGTTCAGCCCTCCGACATTATGCAAGACTCGTCATCAGACCACAGCTGATGAGAATGCAGTACTAAGCTCATTCAATCGACGACAGAGTTACTGCATATGTGTGCATTTGATAAAGCAGCAATAACGTTTCCTATTACAATTTGTTCTCAAATAAAGCCAACTAATTGCTGATTAAAAGTAATTTACCATTGTAATGTTTTTTTCTTCTTATGCCATTCATTTTCGTCCAGCACTGACCTTCAGAGGAGAGCAGAATCTGCTAGGAATTAGCTGTCCACTCGTTCCACATTTCAATGGAGAATTTCGCCATGCCCAGAAAGATTCGTTAATCGAAAAGAAATAAATTACGATAATGGAGTTCATTTAAAGTTTTGAAACATACATAAGCCAGAACGCGAAAAACCAAATCAAGAAATTAGCGGACTTTTGAGGAATGACATTGCTAGCATTCGGGTGTTCTATTTTGTTGCATAACTTGATAACTTAAGAATGTAGCTTTTTGTCTTACGGCGTCGTACAGCGCACTTCGCGTCGTCAGTGTTGCTGTGCTCCTCACGATCATCATCTGTTATCTCATTGCAAAGTAGTGAACATGTTACAACACTATTGCTTCTATCGCAGCAACCGGAAGACACTTTGTTTCGCTGGAAAAATGAAAACGTGTCCGCTCATTCCGACTCTGTAAAGGCACAGATTGAGCGTGCGCCACGAGAACTGTAAGGTAGGCTGTTCCGCAGCACTCTCGTGCTCGGCGGTACAGTCTACATCTCCAGTCGTCTGAGCCGGGAGCCGCATACGTGAGAACAGCGTCGGACGTTGAAATTGCTGATAAAGTTGTTTTATGTTACACTCATTGGAGAATGTTGAATGTTCGACCAATAAGTGACCTATTTTTATAGCTGGATCTGGTGCAGGCTTCTCCAGCCATTTAAGACCCTGTATCAAAAATGCGAATGTTGATGTGCATGGATAGACCAACTTAAGACTTTTGGAGCACAAAGTCGTCGATCTTACGAACAGTTTCACACAAAAGATAATCCAGTTTCACACAAAAGATAATCAGTAAGCGAATGTGATTGCTTCTCACCTGGGTAAGGCTGCACACAGCACGGGTAGAACTTCTCGTGACGCGTGGCCGGCACTCCGAGGATGTCCCACTCCACGCTCGGATAATACTCCTTCAGATCAATGCCGAGCTCCACAAAATTGGAGTCGGGCGTCTGATCTATGTGCCGCAGGTCGATCTGAGAACACCCAGGGGTCACCAGGTTCGCCGCTCATGTGATATAGACAGACATTGGCGTCAATGGGCGTCTGGGGGAGCTGGTGCCGCTTACGAATGGGAGGAGCGCCACATTATCCCGCAAATGGTTCCGAGACCTGACCCGAACTAGAACGTTTCCCACGGGACAGGCCATATAGCTAAAGCTAAGCAGTGAGCACGGCAAACTACTGAGTTGGGGCCATTTCTGTCGTGAGTTCTGTAAATGACCATTTTCGCTTTGATTAGAAATGCATGCACTGTTGTGATTTTTTTGACTGATTGTTGCAAATTTCTTCACAGGCTAGGTATTTTCATGTCAAGTGTGCCTTTTGAGAAACTGCGCCTGCTTTTCTACGTCTGAGCTCCCCGGGGGCGACGGTCGTTTCGGCACCCATGCAGATGATAGAGCAGCAGTTAGTGGCACCTGCGCCGCGGCACCGGCCGGAATGAAACCCGCCTTGCCTGAATGGCATTTACTCCTCCTGTCTCCCTCCCTCTCTCTCTCTCTCTCACTCTCTCTCTCTCCTCTTCCACCTCTCCCTCTCCCTCTTCATATATCAAACAATACGGAGTAGTCCTGCCATTACAAGAGTTGAAGAATGAAGACATCACCGCATTAGCAAATAGTTAAGGTGCAGGACCACACCATGTACTTCGTGCATACATATTTTAGCACGGTTCGTTAATTACGCACATGATTGATTACCCAGCTTCCCTCTGAATGTCTGGCCATATGTAACAATTAACTATTCACGTTATCTCACCTAGGATTAAGTTATCACAAGCCTTCATGCAAGGCGGAATACGAATATCTCTTTCCACGCCGACTGAAACTTCCTGATTAAAAAAAGGATTTTAATTTTATGTCTAAAGAGCATTGAATAGGAAAATGGTACCCATCACAGGCTCCTCTCACCTGATGGCCATCATATGTCCAGCTGCCGAACTTCATAAAACACTGCTGCTGGTCAAAGGGGAAGTAGCGTACGTCGATCTGGCAGTAGGACTTGAAGATGGCCGGCGGATCCCAGAGCACGCGGCCGTCGTTGTGAATCATGGCCTTGGTCAGAGTGGTGATCACGTATTCCCCATCCGCGCTGAAACAAATGGCTTGCCGTCTTGAGGCAATAACGTCCGGAACGAAACTCGTCTGTATGCATTGACACACAAATACAAATTGACCGTGACTGCTTGATAAATTGATCGATTAGCTCGACCAGAAGGGGTTTCTGATTCATTCTGAGTGTCGACTAATGGTAGGTAGTAGTCAATGGTTATGGCTTTTTGTGCATTTTAATGGAACGCTGATACAGTGTGGTGGGCGATGGCCATCCTCGCCGCTTGTGCGAAAATGGGGATCACAAGGGAAGGTGAAAGGTCCCAAGAGGAGAGAAAGAAATCAAGAGTGACAGAGAGAGAGAGAGAGAGAGAGAGAGAGAGAGAGAGAGAGAGAGAGAGAGAGAGAGAGAGAGAGAGAGAGAGAGAGAGAGAGAGAGAGAGAGAGAGAGAGAGAGAGAGAGAGAGAGGAAGGGAGAGATGACAAGGTGATCAGGAAAAGAAGGACGGGTAAAGGAGCGTCAGAATGGAGACGGGACCCACAATAGTGCCGAGGTGGGAGCACTCACACATGCCCAGAGCAATTCGGACAAAATGAAGGTCCGGTAACTGCCGGCTCCCGCCTCTGTGGTATGCGCACCAGACCAGTCCAGACCAGACCAGACCACACCAGACTGCCTGGCTACTATGACGCTGTGCAGCCCGCCGCAGCGCCGACGGAGCGAGAGAGCGCCGCGAAATATCGGCCCCGCCGCGGCCCGGCCGGCCGGACACACCGATGAAGCATTCAGGAAACGGCGCCGGCCCCATATTTCCGGCCGGGGGGAGACGCATACCGGCGGCCGAATATCGACGGCCGAGCGCGCCACCTTCGGCGCGGCGCGCCGCCAGCGCCGCCGCCGCGCCACAATGACGGCAACAAATGCGGCCATCCGTTGGGCCGCCTTCGGTGAGAGGTGGCCACCGCGGTGTCCGGTGAAACGACCGCGGCCGGGCCGGGAGCCGATATTGGATCGGCTCGGCCGACAGATCAACGGATCGCTCCACCACCGGATCCACTCGGCCGTAATACCATCAGACGCCCAAAACGAAATTGCATTTGTGTTTGGTCCCACTAATATCATACGTCAATGAAGATATCAAGAGAAATGTGGTCAATCAAGCAGTTCTCGAAATGTGATGTGAAATTGCGATTCGGATGCGGAGATTGCTAAACGCTCTATTGCTAATTTCTATTATTCGGTACATCGGTTTACTAATATCCAGCTCTGTGTGGAGCTGCCTGGAAGGCTTTGATATGGTCAAACCTGACCTGGTCCGGCCCCATCAAGCTCGATGAATTGGTTCGGTCTGGCCTGGTCTGCTCTCCTCTTGTCTGGGTTTCGTCCGGGTTACTGCAGTGGCGGCGGAAGGTAATTTTGGATGGGGGTGCAAAGTTTTCCCAAGAGGCCCCTCTGGAAGTTTTGGGCCCCCCTCCAGTGTTTTTTTGTGATTATTATTGATTCATGAAAAATGAAGATTTTGGAAAACTATCCCCATACACACAAGTTCTGTAAAAGGTTTGAAATTGCAGTGTACCTGCCTATCTCAAATAATGAAAGCATAAAGAAGCAAATGCAGCTAGTTTTTTATCGGCTAATCTTTTAGTCTAGCCACCATCCGCAGCGTCTCAAACCACTTTTCTGGATCCGCAGTGGACCATTGAGTGCCCTACGAGACCGTTCCAAGAAGACCGTGTTTAGATGCCCCTTGGAAACCGACCTCATAGAGACTCCTCAAAGGCCTACATGACTCCCCAGATTGAATGAGCCCTCCGATCAGAGTCGGTCCCTTGAAAGTTCCTGAAAGGTTTCAGAAGGCAGTATAGGCTCGAAAGTCTTTTGAGGGCTCTCAGAAACCGGCATCGGACCCCAAAAAAGCCTGTATGGAGGCCCTCCAAAGCCGGGATGGAGGCCACAGGAGCCGATGTTTAGCCTAAAGAGCCGGTATGGAGGACTGAGTAGAGGAAAGGGGTCTCAGTGGGGCCTTCGGGGGCAAACTTTTGAGCCCCAAAAGTATGTGTGGGGTCTTAGAGGCAGGTAGACCCCTGGGGTATGCACGGGGTCTCAGGAGCTCGCGTGTGAGCCCATATATTCGGCTGGCGGCTACTAGAACCAGCATGGGGATTCTTAGAAGCCGCTTAGACCCACATTTCATGGGTCATGAGTCCCAAGAGTCGATGTAGGAACCATAAAAGCCGGTGTAGGGCCCATGGCCCTATAAGTTCCGACATTGAGACTCTCAGAGGCCGGTGACGGGGCACCAAGAGCAGATAAAGTGCCTCAACAAGCCGACATGGGGCCTGAGAATCAGTGTGGAATTCCAGGAGCCTGCGTGAGCTCTCGGAGACCTTCGTATTTCATAAGGTCCACAAAGGTCGTTGGATCCTCAGAATCTGAACTTTGTGGGGCCCTCAGAGGCCAGCATGTCTCCTGGCACCTGCCTGTGTTGAGTTGAGACCCTCCGAGGCCGTCGTAGGGTTCTTCAGAGGCCAGCGTTGGCCCTTGAAGCCTTCGTTAGGCCCTAGAAGCCGTCAAGAGGGCCCTCAGAGGTCAGCATGGCCCTGGAGCCTGCCTGCGTCGAGGCCCTCAGAGGCCGTCGTGGGGCCCTCAGACGCCAGCGTGGGCCTTCGGAGCTTGCGTTGGGTCTTAGAGACCATCGTGAGGGCCCAGAGAGGTCGTCTTCAGGGCTCTCAGCCCCTCAGGGACCGTCCTGGGGTCCTCAGAAGTTGTTGTGATTTGTGAAGCCTTCGAGAGGATCATCAGAGGTCGTCATGAGGGTCCTTGACCATAGTGAGGGTCTTCTTCATGGGCCCTCAGATACCTTTGCAGGGCTCTCAGAGGCCTTGGTAAGACCGCTAGAGGCCATCGTTGTTAGGGCCCTCAATAGACCGTTGTAGGGCCCTCAGATGCCAGCATAGCCCCTGCAACCTGGCTGTGTTGGGGCCCTCAGAGGCCGTCGCTGGGCCATCTGAAGCCAAATGGGCCCTCAGACTTGAGTTGGGTCTAGGGCCGTCACGAGGGCCCTCAGATACCGTCGTAGAGGCCCTCAGAGGCCAGTGGGGCCCCTGGAGTCCTGTGGGACACTCAGCGGTCGTCATGAGGGCCCTAAGTGGCCGTTGTAGGGCCCCAGGGGACAGAGGTCGTCGTGGGAGCCTTCAGAGATCGTCATAAAAGGGCTCTCTGAGGCCGTCGTGGGGCCCTCAGATGCCGCGTGGAGCACCAAACGCGGCTCGGGACACTTTTAGGCCGGTGTGGGGGCCCCAAAGACTAGCATGGGGCGCTCCTGACCATAATTGGACATCCCGGATGATTCCACATCAGTGTTCGTTTCCCGATCACTGGTTTTCAGGAGAAAATGTATTGGATGGTGCGACGGGCCCCTTGTACGGATTTTGGGGGTGCAAAAAGATATGTTTGCACCCCATGTTCTTCGATGGGGGTGCAGCTGCACCCCCTGCACCCCCTATTCCGCCGCCACTGGGTTACTGCCGTCTCCGAGCTGCGTGGGTTCTCTACTGCTGCCGCCAGGCCGGTGCCGCCAGTTCCCGGCCGCCGGACGCGCCGTATACGAGCTGAAGTGCCACCGGTACGACCTCACTGGCCGGTACAGCCCAATGACAGCGGTCCCAGCCCACGGCAGCGCCAGACAGCGCCGCCACCAGCCGCCCCAGAGACGACCCTGCCATTCGCCCGCATATTCACAGCCGCTCGCTCCGAGAGCGGAAATGAGAAAAGTTGCCAATGTTACCTGCTGTGTAGGCTGATGTTGCTGAATGTAAGGCGGCCAAGATCGTAAAACGCGAATACTTTTGAATTATGTCGTAGCCCCACTACAGGGGAAGCAATGACTACATAGAAACCGTGCATACTGCATATAAACATAATTGCACAGCTAACTGAATGCGTGAAGCAACTTAAACAGCATACTTAGAAACTGCCGCTTTGATTCATTGGATTCGAAATTGGCTCTGTCATTAAATCGACTGATTTTACCCAAGTGCTTAATTTTCTGATACACTGAGCTTTTGCTGCGATGCTCATGAAATTATCGTCGGTAATTCATTTGTCTGTCATAAAACAACTACAAGCACTAAGCAGCTTTGTGCAATGTGCATTGTACAGCCCTCAGCAAACTGCGTGGTAGGTATTCTTTTTTCGACAAAACCGATAATAACTCAAAGGCTATGCTATCAGTCGGTCGGAACTCATTGCATATAGATGCGCCATGCTCCACTCCTTCGATTGGGTCTATAACTAAACGAAGTATGCGCCTTGTGTGGCAACAAAATGCAAAAGTTTGTTTTGGGGGCAAATATAAACCTTTAGGTTTTATTGCTGAACTAGATGGAAAATGAATACGGTGCTGATGCCAATCTAAGATGTGGAGTCTCGCGCGTCTTGCTGTTACGATTTCCAAATGACTGATAGCAAACTATTTGCCTCATTCTCGTTTTTGTCGAAAAAAAATACCTACCACGCAGTCTACAGAGGGCTGTACCTAATTATCGATATTAATTCGATGAAAGCAGACAAGAACCCAAAAAGACGACGCATATAAATTGTTAAAATAGTTTATCAGACTGCCTAAAACAGACTGAAAACATCTAATTCAAGATATGATGTCGGGGAGGTGAGGGGGGAGGAAGTCAATATCGGCTAATGCGTCCTTGTGCATTGTGAACCCAGTAATAGACTTCCCAAGGCATGCGGAATGCGGATGCTGGCTGGGATTTCGCCTGTGCCGAGTTCTTCAATTTTCCAAGCCTCAATCACGGTTCGAAATGACAACCATAACGGCTTTATGTTTCATTAGATAGTTAATGGGTTTCTTTCATGTGGAATATTTCCCTTTCTTTGTGACCGTCGTAATACCTTATTCAATATGGCATGGCATTGGCGTAAGTTGCAAGGGTCCATATTTAACGTATCAGTCCTTTACACTGCTGAATGGAGTCGATGTCTCACTTGTTGTAGAGGACGATGTCGGGGAGCCAGATGTGTTCTGCGGGCACATACAGCTGCTCCACGCCGCCGTACTCCTTGGGGTCCCACACAAACTTGTGATCCATCCACATCTGGAAAAACACACAATACCTGTAAGTAACACTATTATAAATTAATTACACAGGCAATAAATTGTCCAGGAGAAGACAATTCGCTATTCTCTTGGAGACAGACTGCTGACTGCGCAGTGCTCACTTTCAGCTTTTTTAATGGACTTACACCGTCTCGTTTTCAAAAATATTTTCTGTTCGCTAATATCTCTAATAAAGGAATTTGAAGTCAATATCGCTGCACATCACTTCCGTTTTCCACAAGTAGGACATAACAGGGGTGAATCATGAAACCCAGCTCTATCATCCAGCTCTACCAAAACTAAAATAGCGCTATTCAGCACAAAACCAAAAACTAAAGTAGGCACCATTGGTCCCAAGCTTAGAGTGCCAGCGGCCAGAAGTTTTGGATGCACCGACTCTCATCCTCGGCTCATCACTTGAGTTGACCAGGGAATATGACTCTGTCGGAATATGACAGCAGAGGTCATTCTGAGAGTTGAAGGCTGCCGATCAAATAACTTCTGATATTCCATTTTCAGGCCTCATCTCAACTAGGTACTAGTCGCTAGAAACCCGCTCTTGAGACAATACATAATAGTAATAAACACATAATTCAGTCTAAGCTTCGCAGTTCACTTTTGCAACCAATTACCGAACTGTGATAAAACATCCACTCCCTTGCGCCGACATTCTAAAGGCCTGGCTACACTATGCGTTTTCTGCGTGCGTTTTTGCAGGTTTGCGTGTTTTGCGTAATATCGTTCTAGGAAAAAAGTTATAAACAATATAATTTTTACTTTGGGTATATACAAAAGCTAATATAACTCTTATGTAACTAAAATTTAAGGTGAAAAACATCACAAAAACGTAATATCGTTCTTTTTTCTAGAACGATATCACGCAAAACACGCAAACACGCAAAAAACGCACGAAGAAAACGCATAGTGTAGCCAGGCCTTTAGAATATAATTTAAAAATATTTAGAATACATTGCCAAACTACACCAATCTTGGCCGATGCATATCCGCCCACACTATGAGCGCCTCAGACGCGTTGATGGGTTGTTCGTTTCGCTAGCCATAGTTTAATGAAACCTTCACGGCAGGACGATATATTCAGCGCTGCTGACGTGGCAGTGCCATTTATTTTCAGCCCCTGACGTTATCAATATTGATTGTCATACAACGCATCAACGACGGGAGCCATGTTGTCGCCTTTTCCGTCCTCTCCGTTCTAAATGACCTGTTTACTGCTCGAAAGTTTTTAAACATCGGCTGTCAACAGCACAGAGAAAACTGCCTTTCACAGTAGGGGCAAACGTGTTTCTCTCAAAATATTTATCGATTATATTTTGGTTTATAGGTACCTATTCATCGATGCAGTGTTGGACACGTTTTTAAATAAACTGAAAAACTAAGGTTTGGTGAGAAAAAAAATATTTTGAAGTAAGAAAAGGTAAGGCGTTGTTCTCTTTATGTTAAACATTTAAGCTGATGTTTGAAAATGTTTGTGAGAAACGCTTCACTGTGTATCAACGTGCAGGCATGTACTTACAACAACAATAAGCTATATAGGTATGTGAACCTCAAATTATTTGAGCCCAAATGCTTCCCCTGGTTTGCTACCTCACGGTCGCAGTGGGTGACTCAGTTTCGGATGTGTTTGTATGATTTGTGGTGATGGATATGTGCATGTGTGCGTATGTCATGCTTTCCATTTCGTTTTACCGTATGACGTAACTGAGCGAAAAACCACCGTTTTGTGTGGACCTCTTTCGAATACATCTGATATGATCTAATCTGATCTGATCTGATCTGATCTGATCTGACTATCAAAAAATGCAAAATGTGGACTCCAGCACGCGTGAAAGCAAATTGAAACTGGTCATACATCAGATGCATTCACAAAAGTAAAGCATTAGAAGACCTACATATACAAGTATTGTCACATCGGCCACGGTATTCAATTGCTTTACTGGGTAACTGGCCTGCGCCTTTATATCATTCTTACTTTTTTCCACCATTCTTACTTTTTTGTCCACCATATTACGGCTTTCTTCAGGCGGGGAAAATATCCAAAATCAAATTTAACTTTCAGGATACAAAATTGGAGAACATCTCACTTAATTAACTCTACCTGAATTATTCATCAAGCAGCATAAGCAGTTTTATCCTCGATTGATCGACAGCGAAGTTAATGATTTGTTCAGGATAGTGTAAGATCGGCTCACTCACGGCGGTGCTTTCTAATCAATCATCGTTAATTGGTATATAAGCCGGGATGGGATCAACTTGAATTGAATTTTCTTTGGGGGCTATTTGTGTACACTACTTCAATCATGCATTGCTTCATTAAGTTGCGCAGTGCAGTGTGACATTGGATGATAAACGACCAAGAGTGGGAGCGAATCGTCTGCCCGTACCTCACCTTTTCATCGGCTGAGAGAGTGAGCCACAGAGAGTCAGCACCATGGGTGGAGAATGTTTGAAAAAGTTACCCCGGCCGGCGACCGATAGTCGCGGGAAGACGATATACTCACGTTGTTCTCAACGGTCATCATCAAACCCCTATTCTGACGCATGGAATAGGATGCTGTGTTTGCTCAAGGATGAGCGTTGTGTCCGACACCGTATTATTCATAACATTTTTGGAATGATCGAAAAGGCAATTTCCTTTTTATTTCTTTTTACTTAAACTTCCAATTTCACACCGAACCCAAACCAAACCATATGCCATTTTGAGTACCTAAATGTTGCGTTTTCAGCTTTTTATTGTGTCTCAAAATAGCTACAAAAAGACAACTCACCATAGTAGAAGCTTTACAGAGAAATTGACAGATCGAACCAAGCAAAGCACTAAAATAGGTCACTGACATCCACGGGCGTAGCCTTTTTCAATGTTGGACGGCTCTTATAATACAAACAGGGAGTCGATCCAGGAATATCGACCGGTCCCGGTCTCGTAGCTCAGTTGCTAGAGCGTTGGATTCCGCGTGGCGAGAGCACGCGGCCCGGTTACTACAGTCCGAGTTCGAAGCATGATGGCCGCTCGGTGTTTATGAGCACCCTGACGGGTACGCTCATAAACGGGTGTGGTTGCGGTTGGTGGCAGGTCAGTTGAAGGCAATGAGGTCAAACAGTAGTTTTGAAAAAGTGCGCCGAAGGCGCGCCAAAATTTCGAAACTGAACAGGATGTGAGAGCAATCTTGGCATTGGCGACCACACGCGGGTCTTAGGGTTGGAGATTATGGCAAGTTAAGTAAATGGTAAATACCTACCTGATTTGCAATATTACGCCCATGGAAGTCAACATTCGAAGAGCGTGAGTTTTCTTTTCTCGTATGGAGACAGCTTTTAGGATTTACAAGAGTAGAAAAGTTACCCCGGCCGCGCCGGGGTAGGCTGAAAGTTACCCCGGCCACGGCCGGGGTGGCCGGGGCAGGTTCTCCACCCATGGTCAGCACTTTACATTCCGTTTATTTTGTTGTAAGAGCGAATCTCTCAGACAGTGCCTCACTGGCTAAGATACGTATAGTCAGGCGCTGATGATCAGGGAGTGCCCAAATTGCTGAGTCACTCACTGGGATTGCCACAGAGAGGAAACATGTAAATTTATTTTGATTTAACATCAAATTTCAGATGAGCAGCGTATACCCATTGATATGATGCCTGCATTGATCAGTGGTCAGTGGTGTCAGTAGTCAGTGGCCAGTGGTCAGTGGTCATAGGTAAGTGGGGTCAGTGTTGTCAGCGGACATTAGTGTCAGTGGTCAAACATGGCCTGCATTGGTCAGTGGTCAGCTAGTCAGTGGTCAGTGGTCAGTGGTCAGCGGTCAGCTAGTCAGGGACCGGTAGTCAGTGGTCAGTGGTCAGTGGTCAGTGGTCAGTGGTCACTGGTCACTGGTTACTGGTCACAGGTCACAGGTCCGTTGTCAGTGGTCACCTGTCAATGGTCAGTGGCCAGTGGTCAGTGGCCAGTGTTTACTGTTCAGTGGTCTGTGGTCTGATTAGGGGCGGCGCTGCCCGGCCAGTCGAGCGGCCCGGCCTGTAGGGACAGATAACGCCGCACCCGCCGGTGCCAGAGCTGGGCTCTGCTCTGGCCCGGGCTGGACTCTGCTCTGTAGGGACAGATACCGCCGCACCCGCCGGTGCCAGAGCTGGGCTCTGCTGGACTCTGCTCTGTAGGGACAGATAACGCCGCACCCGCCGGTGCCAGAGCTGGTAGGGACAGATACCGCCGCACCCGCCGGTGCCAGAGCTGGGCTCTGCCGGACCGCGATATTGGGCCGGCTAACCAGGGAGGGAGAGGAGGCGGCCAGTCGGGGGGAGGAAGGAGCCGGTCAGCTGGGGAGGAAGGGGGTCGGCTGGCTGGGGAGGGGAGCGGGCTGACTAGTTGGGGAGTGGGACGGGGATGGTAAGCGGTCTGGTATAAGGGGACATGACTGCGTCTGTTCTGAAAGGTCTTATCTGGAATAACGGGACATGGAACTGATCTGGAATAGGGCTTGTGCAATGTACATCACCCGAACGGTTTTGGGGAGGCTCTGGCATGTTATAGCTGAGGGGGGGGGGAGAGGGGGTCATATGGCAAACTTCTGGATATACGCTTGTTTGGGGGCGGAGTTCGTCCCCATTGTGGAAGGGGCTGAAATCTCCCTTTATCTGGGGAGAGGGGAGAATTGAGGGAACCCATCAGCATCTTGCAATGTGCTAACCGTAGACTCATCCAGCACAAGGCTGAACGCACCCCGTCTGAGGAGGGACCCCTCGCTCTCCCGTTCGACGGGGCGGGGCGTGTGCCTCGGGTCGGGGTTGGGAGTTCCGGAGCGGGGCTGGGCCCGGGCCAGGCCGGTCCCGGGCCGGACGGCGCCCAGTTCCGGCCGACTGCCGAGCCGCGTCCCACCGATCATCGCGACAGCCGCGCAGCGCTCCATTGTGCCGCTGGAACAGAGCGCCACCACTACCGGCCTACAGCCGCCCGCCTGATGGACAGCCCGCGGCGGCACCGGGCAAAATACAAACGGCCGACAACGGACGGCCGACAATGCATTACCACTGTCTGCGCCCGCTGATGAAGGGCATCTAAAAATGACGGAGACAAGTGATAAATGATGTCATCAATAACTCGACGCATTTCAGAAAAATATTCAGACACGCCAGTCACAGCCTATTTGTTTTACGGTAGACGCTACGCTAGTGCAAAACTTCAAAGCTTTTTGCCTGTAGGAAATAACACATGTAGTAAGGATGGGTCTAACATGGAAGAGATGCCATTTATCATTCACATCCATCGTTCGTCGATCCATCAAACAACAATTCATTTCAGTTCGGAACTGCCACGATACACGACGGTGTCAACCAGCTGATAGCTGAAATGAAAACGCGTAAATGGCAGCCCAGAATCCAGATGTCAGAGAAATGCCAACACGGCTACAGAGAGTTTAACGAATACAATGTATATTAATAAAAAACGATGGATAGAACAAACCCTAATCACATTTTGCTGATTCCAATTTCCAGTGCCACAATGCATGCGTCTGTGACCCATAACGTATGCGTCACACTTTCCTGACTTGCTGACTTAAAGTGTCCAGAAAATTAATATGTACGATCCAATTTAAGAATAAAATAATTTAGCTTCAAAGTGCCACTTCAGATTGGGAGCTAAATTGCCCCTTCTTTCCTTTTCTGTGAGACTCAGCTGATCGTAGCTGGGTCTTCCTTCTCCAATAACTCCGTTTTATGACGATTTTACCGACGTGATGCTCTCATAAACTGGAGGGAGTTATGGGAGTTTCTTATATTCCTTATCGGGAGCGCCAGCGGTGGATCAACTGCTGCAGCTCATGGCGATCCCCAAATGAGCTGAGACCGGCCGTATCGGCGGCGGCAGTGGCCGCTTGGCGGACCGGCCGGCCGCGGGGGCAGACCGGCAGCCGACCCCTGGCAGGGGAAGTGACGCCGCTCTGCCCCGGATATGGCGCATATCCGCTCGGAACCGACAGCACCGCGCCGCATTCAGATGGTCTGAATGGCGGCCGCAATAACAGACACCAGGCCAAATCGGTGGCACAATAATTAACAGCCAGACAGACTGTTAGGGAAATCACCCTGGCGAGAGATGGTAAACGCGGCCGCTTAACGACTTATTGTTGTCTCCAAATGACACAAACAAGCAGGTTGATTGCAGGTCGCTTACTTTACATAAAATTTGCGATTGTTACATGCTGATATGATTGAATGACATCAAAAATTCCTTGCGTTAAGATGCAAACGCTTTCCATTTTAGCCAGCAGTATCCGGTGAAATTAAGCTCTATGGCTAGAATATAAGGTTGAATGAAACATGGATGGAGTATTAGACTCGCATCATGAGAAGTTAATCCAGCGAACGTTAGCGACACTCCTACTGGAGTGTCGCTAGTCCCACATAGTAGAGCAAGCAGAGGGTCTCTCGGGAAAAACAAGGTCGGAAAAGAGTAAAGAGAGAGAGAGAGAGAGAGAGAGAGAGAGAGAGAGAGAGAGAGAGAGAGAGAGAGAGAGAGAGAGAGAGAGAGAGAGAGAGAGAGAGACAAAGAGAGAGAGAGAGACAGAGACAGAGAGAGAGAGAGAGAGAGAGAGAGAGAGAGAGAGAGAGAGAGAGAGAGAGAGAGAGAGAGAGAGAGAGAGAGAGAGAGAGAGAGAGAGCGAGCGAGAGCGAGAGTGAGAGAGAGAGAGCGTGAGAGAGAGAGAGAGAGAGAGAGAGAGAGAGAGAGAGAGAGAGGGAGGGAGGGTCCTATGATGAGACCTAATCGGGTTATTTATAGCAGCTCAAGTCAGACCAAGTGGCAAAGAATGGCAGTGACAGGCCAATTAAACGCATACCTACTCCAATTTAGTTCGAATAGAATGTTATTGGACCGTCAAGAAGGGTTGAAATGGGAACAAATTAGAAATACTTTAACGTTTCCTTTCGACCTATCGACATTTTGTGACCAAGATTACTACCACGTGAACTCCAATATTGAAGAAAGCATGAGACAATTGGTCATTTATTCTCAGTAAGCCTTTATTAAACGTCAATGTAATTTCATACTGGCTCATCTATTTGATATTCACATTTGATAATCTTAGACCTTCGATCTGGCTTCATAAATGCTTTACGAAACATCTTTTGCTATAGCTGTTGTTCCTTCAAATCATTTCAGTTAGTGACAACAAATATCGCCGAATTATGGAGACTCGTGTGGAGATTAGTAGCTCTATATCTGTATCCTTAAAACGTCACGCAGCTACATAGGGTACTCACATGTTCCACCCACACGTTGGTCGTGAGAATTTGGTCCTTCAAGTTCTGTAACAAAAGTGCAGACAGTGGTAAGAATCACAAAAGGTCGCTAGAACAACAATGCCTTCAGTTACACAAGATGGATGCAAACTTATGCAAACTTATGCAAGTTTTGCTCATTACAGATTTCTCAGCTTTGGCCTTTTAAACGTGTTTTTGTGTACATTATTTGCAATACCGTGGCTGCAATTACCTCCCATGGAAAATGGTCAGATCAACCTGTTGTTTTTTATTGCCAGCGACTGGTGACAGGACCCCCCCCCCTCTCCCCCCCCCCCCCAGCTAACACAGCAGGCGACAGTGCACACCGTAAACAAACTGGAATGATTCACTGGCCACGGGTCACAACGAGCGGCACTAAATGGGCTATTACGGAAAATCGAATGTCGCACTCCGTCCTGTCTCGTGTGCGATGGATCTCCTCGTTTTCCAGTACTGGGTTCTACGCTACAGGAGACAGTCCCGCCTGCAAGATATATGATAGGCAATAGTAGTACCTAAAGCTAATAGAAAATGTGTGCTGTAATGGGGCGTACTACTAATGAATAAAGCCGTCTTGGTATTAATAACATCTCTTCGTTTACAGCAAATAAATTCGAAAAGAAATAGGCATAAAAAGTTAAGTTGTTTAACCATGTAGTCTGTCGTTAAAAAGACAATAAATTTGCCCGACACTCGGAACTCGATGCATTTTACATGTACTTACATACATACATAGGCCACAGGAAGGCCACAGGAAACAGTCACACGAAAACATAAATAAGCCTAGTGAATAATGCAAAAGGGCGCTACATGAAAACGAACTTGGGTCAAATTATGTTGAATGCATTCCTTTTTGGCATTTAAGTTCAAAGCTTTGACAACTGTCGAGTGTCGAGCCAGAATTTAAAAGACTGATTTGTTGTGTACGCAAGAGGATCATAGCCGGGCCAGAACTCATTCTTATCCGACATTTCACTCAGAACTGGCCATATATTACTGGACGTATGCATAAGGGACGACGTGACCCTTCCATTCATTCTATTACTGGGCGGGGATGCGCCGGCCGGGCAGCGCGGCCCGGGTCCCATTCCCGGCGGATTCTCATTCGCTCGTTCATCAGAGCTCGGACACTGGCGCCGGAAACTGGTCCTGGGGCCGGAGCTGCGGAAACTCACAGAAAGCAGCGCCGCATTGTAAACCGGCTGTGATGTGGCACATCAGTTTCTGAGTTGGTGCTCTGTAAACACGAGTGGGCTTTGAAGTGGAATTAAATTAAAGCAGGACGTCGTATTCAGCTTTACTTGCGAGTTGTGGGTTGATGATGAGTTAAAAAGTTCGAGAAATATCGTTTATTGAAGACAGGAATTACAAGCTGCAGTCAATTGAGGATCTGAAACTTTTCTAGATCTAATTAAAAATTACATCTCCCACCCTCATATGCAATCCCCTGGGCATCAGGAATGACTGCAAGCGAGCCACACACAACAGCGTCAGAAGTCACTCAGCGCCACTTTCTCTGGATACATCTTACAAAAGAAGCGTGAGCTAACTTTGACGTGTATTAACCCTCGCCCGCACATGCCATTTTCCCATCCTAGAACGCACATGGGGGGGGGGGGTGGTTGCCACCACCCCCGCGCCATTTCGTTCCTGTTGGAGATAGAGCTTAGCGGTAAATACCAAAAAGATTCTTTGGGAAGAGACGAATCCAATGATACCCAGTTTTACCTTCTCAGGTCAGTCATTGACCTTCCAGGTCAGGTCAAACTAAAAAATGTTGCTGTTTTGGGTCGCCGTTGGAAATCAAGTGCGCTGCTTATCAAATACCGATGACGATGCTGTTTTCTGGTGCCAAGCCAGCTAGAACCTCTTTGTCACACTACCCGACCAGAATTTTGCTGCTGAGGTCATTTCAGGTCAAGTTAGGTCAAGGTCAACTATACGTGTTTGTAGGTCTGTGTGTGTCTGTGTGTATACTGATGTGTGCACCGATTGTTTATGTGTCCATATTACATGAAATCATGATCTGAGAAGCTTTTACCAAAAATGCAGTCAAAAAACTTCACAAAAAGTAAATTCCGCTTGCCTAAAACGTTATTATCTTAGATGACCTAGGTTGACCTTGACCTTGACCTTGACATCTGAACATCGTCAAACAACATGTTCCATGATAGGTGGGAGGTAAGATAAGACTGGTAAAAAGGGCCGAAATCAAGGTGTCAAAAGCTCACAAGGCCCATAGCCAACGCAAGATGTCGAGAATTGGCCATTTGGGTCATGACATGACCTGAAAAACAAGGTCATATCTCCGAAACCAAAAGTCACAGAAACTTGAAATTTTCAGTGTACATCAAGAAAGGATAGAGGAGCAGCTATACGAAAAATCAGCCTTCTAGCTCTAAAAATGTTGAGTGCAGAGCAGAAAGACTACCTGGGGGGGGGGGGGTGGCAACCACCCCCCCCCCCCCCCATGTGCGGGCGAGGGTTAAGTCATATGATTCCTGCTCGGGCGCAGCATAGTGCCACTGATGGGCGTGCATATGACACAATAGAACAGCAAACCTCCAGACCACCAGATCCAGCCAGACCGACATATCAACAGACCGACAGACTGCCGACCCATCAGACCAACAGACCACAATATCACCATGATCAGACCAACAGGCCACCATGTCACCAGACCAGCATACCAACAGAACGACAGACCCACATACCGACAGACCGACAGACCGACAGACCGACAGGCCGACAGGCCGATAGACCGACAGACCGATCGACCGACAGGCCGTCAGACCACAGGACCACCAGTCCACAAGACCAACAGACCAGCAGACCAGCAGACCGATTGACCAACAGTCCGCCGGACCACAGGACCATCAGATCACTCACTCTACGGGCCGACTGTGCGAGTGAATGGCCGCAGTTCCACCAGAACCCACGACAAACAGGCCCCGGCCTCCTCCGTGTAGTCGGGAGCAAAACACGCCACTTGGATTCCGGGAACCTATTCAACGCATTATACCGCGATCCCTCTGGGCATAGCTCCGCCCCTCTCTCTCCTCTCTCTCTCTTCTCCTCTCTCTCCTCTCTCTCTCTCCTCCTCTCTCTCTCTCTCTCTCTCCTCTCTCTCCTCTCTCTCTCTCTC